CTAGGTTGATGTCTATCATTTCCATGTTTACGAATTTCATCAAAATCTGCCATACATCTAAATTAGTTAATAAAATAAAAATCAATTAATCAATCGATCAACCTAATATAATCAATTAATAATAGAATCCAATAATAACAAAATCCAAGAATTAATACTTACAGCCAACAAAATTCATATTTACAGCTTGAAACTTTACAAGTCATATGATTACAACCACCATTTTTGGAAATTCTAACTCCACATTTAGGGCAAGGTTTTGTTTCTCTTGTTAAATAATCAAGGGTTGCTGCCTCTTCATTTTTTCTTAACTTATCATATTCATCACATGACATGTTTTCATGCCATGGTATATCATGAACATAACATGATCTTGCTTTACAAATTTGACACGTCACGATTGGTGCATATTCTTAAAAACAAATTTAAAACAATTAATTGATTATTCAAAGAAAAAATAAACAAGCAAACAAATAGAATTTTATCAACTTACCACGGTTTGCATGTATTTGTCCAGATCCACAACTAGGATTTTTACACCATCTAAAATCAGGCATCGAATTTAATTCTTGTCGTACTGTCAAAAGGTCAAATCTTTCAAACATTTCTTTTCTCACCAAACGTTTAACATTATCATATGTAAGGAGTTGAGCACAACCGGTAACTGGACATGTTATATTGATGTCACCTTTTTCATCGAGTCTTGTTCCTATATGTGACCTTATACAATTACGACAGATAATTTTTTCGTGACTACAAGTGTTTGTTATTTGTAAAAATCCTTTTTTGTTTCGTTTCTCCAAACATATCATGCACTCAAGTCTATTATCTTCTTCTTCATAGTTCGATCCCCCCTTTTCATCTTGCTTCGTAGTTGTTGAAAATTTGTATTCTTCTGAACTAGCTAAAGATGTTGAACTAGATTTAGATTTAATAGTAGGAACAACGAGTGTGTCGTTATTGTTGTTTTTGTTGTTGCAGTTTTTGTTGCCACTGTTATTTTTTTTGTCAGTTGATGAAAAATCCTTGGGACAATCAGATTTGGGTAGCTTATTATAATCAGACGGACATGATGGTTTAGATGATTGTGATGGATAGTGTGGCTTAGGAATTTTAGGACCAAATCTAACTGGATATTCTTTAGGCGTATAAGTTAGTGAAGCAGTGTTGTCATCAACATTTGGTTGCTTACGTAATGATGGTGATGGTGTTAGTAATTCTTGCGGTGGTAATGGCGGTGGTCTATTTGAATCAGATGGTATTGGTTGATTTTGTTTAAGTTGTTCGAACGTGTATATTGATTGTTGGGTTTTTCGTCGTCGAACTGGCGGTTCTGTTGAAGAAGAATACATTGAATTGGTTTGTTCACGATATTGTGATGATTGTTGTGGTTGTAAAGTTGAGTATGCTGAGTGTATCTGGTAAGGTGGTCTTTGTGGTCGTTTTTGTGGTTGTTTCTGTGGTTGTTGTTGTTGTTGATTGGCAATATCCTTATTACTTCTATCCGAGTCATCGATACTAGTTATATTATCTTCATGTCTAAAATTATTTTTATTTCCATTAGTTGAAGATTTTTTTTGAGATTTACTGCTATTGGTACCCATGTAAAAAAAATTTTTTTTGGAAAAAAGAGTGTTAAAAATTAATAATAATAATAAATTTTTTTTAAATATTATCTAGAGGTGGAAAATTTGAAATTTACTTTTTATATAACTTCATTTATATTACTCTTTTTTTTTTTTTTTCCAAGTTTCCAAATTAAAAAATAAGTGTACAATAAATAATAATAATAAATGGTCTCAAAATGAATTGGGGAATTTATAAATAAATAAAATTACACTAATATTAATATATCAATTCAGTAAATCAAAATTTATTACCAATCAACTAATTGATTGATGATTGATTTCTTCCGACTAACAAAACAGTAATCCAAGAATTCAATTGATTAACTTCTAATTAATACAAATTTATTATCGTGCATGCAGTTTTTTGGACCTTTTTTTCAAATCTCCTTATTATGCAATTGGTCGGTAGAATGATAATTAGCCCCCAAAAAAATTTATTTACTCCTAAAAAAAAAACTATCTTGCTATTCAATAGCCCGTCAAACTAATGGCCCCACCTCAAAACCAATAGATTTTTGCTAGTATAAGATTATAACGTTACAATAGTAAATAAACACTAAAAGATAACCAACACAATTTTATCAAATTGAAGTTTTTAAAATGGCAAGACAACTAACCATCTTCTTTAATTCAACGTCAATATATGTGCACCATTTGTAACAAAAGCGATACAAGACATCTAGAAATCTTGTTCGTCATGAAAATTCTACTTGTACATCTTACAATCAACCTCCCGCCAGTATAGTTTCTCTGCTTATGCAACATGTCGAACAGTTTAAAAAAATGAAATACATAGACGACTTTCTCTTCACTATAACAAATCAGGAAAACAACCTATCAGATTTCCATGTACTGACAGTGAATATGTAGCAGTGTTTGGAAAAGAATTAAATTGGTTTTCACCAGCAAAACGTACCTATCAATGTACTTTCAAAGGTTATGAGGAAGAAGCTATTACTTGGTGATCAACACGATATTATTAAGCAAATCAAAAAAGTTTAGTAATGAGTCATTCATAGTAAACTTTGATTTTTTTCGCGCACAGTGCGCATAGTGTGTGTAGGACTCACATGTAGTGAGTGTAAGCATTATAGAAAAGGTTTTTCACTTACCGTGCCATGAAATATGCGTGGCACATCATATCGTACTAAATTTTGGGGTTTAAACAGAATCAGCGCATATGGATACACTTTTTACAGTTTTAACGGTTATCGAATCACAATTAATTTGTTGAACACCGTTAACAATATGATTTAAACAACTTTTGGATAATTATCAACTTCATCCTATCCATTCAATACCTTGATCTCTCAGCTTTAAAAATTCATATTTTTTTATAACTAGTGATATGGACTTAAATAAATTCCTGATAAAAACTTGCTATATACGGCTTATTAATTGTTAAATACAGTATAAAAAAATAAAGGTCATCGTGACAAAAATCACGTGGTATTGGTTACGGTATAATAGATTTGTCTATTTTGCATTAATACCGAATTTGATAGATAATAAACAGATTGATAAACACTCATAAACCCAACTAAAGCTCCGCATGGACCGACTCACAAGTCAACTAGGTTTATTATTAATGATTTATTTATTTATCTGAGCGAAAATAAATTTAATGATTCAATTGTTCAATCTCTTGCATGTATTGACGTGCGCAAAATGCCATGCAAAATTACAGAATCGCAACATTTCAGACGCAGATATAATCGTAAAAGTCGAGTCAATGCAATAGGTTTATTAGTATCCTTTTATATTTGATGAATGAGTCACAGCCAGGTCACGATAATATAATGTTGTGTTGTTTGAGGAAATGTTACCAAAGTTATAAGCTTTAAAAATATTAAAGCTCGCAAAAAAACTTACATTTTTATATTTTTTTTTCTGTATCCCAATCTCTCATTTGTTTCATCAGTTGTCTTAAGGAGCTAAGTTTTTCTTTTGTTGAATACAATTCAGTTCCCACACACTCATTTACCACCAAATTCAAACATTTCTTACATAACATGAAACATTGATCGGGGTAGATAAAATCATCGATTATGGATTTGTTCCAGGGTCAACTAATTTTAGTGTATATAATTATTATCAATGAAAATTTTACGCAAAAGCTTTTTATAATATCAATATTGATTTATCTTTATTCTTATTGTAGTGATCAACGAAAATTTCGTTAAAATAACTTGTGGTCTTCGCTTGAAAGAGCATAACTTCTGGTCCTCGCAGAGGATAATTGACATTCTAATAATGTATAATTCTATGATAGAATCATTATTTTTATTAAACGTTAACAAGCTTTTAAAGTAAAATAAAAATAAAAATGTTGATTTTATTTTCTTTGTTTAAAGCGCTTTGATAAAAGCAACAAGTTTAATTACTTGGCAAAAGGTGACAATTATGGAGCTTTGCGTTTTATTTGCTTTGGTGGGTAAGCAAGGTTAGGACTAAAATTGGTTAACTAGTGAGTGTAACAACAATTAGTAACGTAATTTACTTTAATGAATAAGCAAAGGTTAGGACTAACGCTGGTTAATTAGTGGGTGTTAATGAGGTACACAGGTAACCCCGTTAAAATGAATAGTTTTTAAAACACCAAAGCCAAACATATGTAAATTACCCCGTTAAACTTTATAAACTGTAAACCGAAAAATTTTTAAATTTTTTGAAGCCATTTATATGTAAAATTGCCCCGTTAATCCGAATTTTTATAAACCGAAGTGAAATAAAAATTGGGCCAATAATAATAATGTACAAGTTATACAAATACATACATATTAATATATGTATGTTGAATATGTGAATTGCAAATTCACATAAATTTCATTTTCACGCACAACATGTACAAAAATTAATTAACCAGAGTAGACTTTCCTCTAATGCAAACAAAAGGAAAAAAAAAATCTACTGAAAAAGAAGTTGGGGTATCAAAAAGAAAACATACGTCTATAACAATCTCTCTCAAAAAAAAATAGAAATATGCATTGAAAAAAATAAAGACCCAAACATAAAAAATAACCAGCTTGCATCTAAATATAATGTCTGTGAATCTACTGTTTCTGAAATTCTAAAAAAGAGTGATTATTTTATCATTGAATCCAAATCAATTCACTGCTAGAAAATGGATAAAGGAAATTCTAAATCCTAAATTTTTAAATTTATTACCCCGTTTATCCGAATTAATTTATGACTCTAATAATAACTTCAGATTATAAAAAACCCGTTAATCCGAAGAAAAGTTCCTGCACAATTGCCTTCGGTTTAACGGGGTTGCCTATGTTATCTTTGTTGTATATATAGTATTATTTTATTATTATTATTATTAAAAACAGAAATACAAATAAACAAATATGAAATAAAAATAAATTGTTAATTTTTTAAAAATGATTCAATTGTTAATCCCGCTGATGCTGATACAAAACCAAGGAATGCTGGTGATGGTTTAAGGGGTCTACTAAGATATTCTGGGTGATACTGTGTGCCAACATAGAATGGATGACCTGAAAATAAAGAGTTTTGGTAATCATTATCATTATTACTAATAGTGATGATTATTTGATGATTAATTACTTCGATATTCCATTATTTCCATCCTTTGTCCAGTTTCATCACGTCCAACAAAACTTAATCCATATGATTCAAAACTTTTAACATATTTAGGATTAACTTCATAACGATGACGATGACGTTCTTGTACAATCCCAGTATCAATCTCTGTCACATTCATAATCTCATATAGTTTACCTAAATGATAGGTAGATAGTATTAATAACTGCTGCTAATACTACTATTATTATTACTTTTATTATTACTCTTATTATACTAATATAATAATAACTTACGCATCTTTGACCATAATTCAGTTTCTTGTTGAAAAATTGTTGGTCTTAAACCTAATCTCATAGTGCCACCTAGATGAATTGTGGAAATTTCTGGCATATTAATTATGACTTGATTTTTGGCATCTGAATTAAATTCTTCAGAATTTGAATCTTATAAAAAAAAAAAAATAGATCAAGAAATTTGGAATTAGTAATTTATTTATATGTATAAATATCATTACTATTGATTATTATTACCTTTCATCTTACAAACATTACGTGCAAACTCAATTACAGCAATTTGCATACCAAGACATATTCCTATTCATTATATTTCTATTGTATTAGATAGAATTATTGGGCAACAAATACAATTTTAATAATAATAATAAATCACCTAAATAAGGAATCTTATTTTCACGTGCCCATCTTGCTGCTGCAATTTTACCCTCAATGCCACGATTCCCAAATCCACCAGGGACAAGAATACCGTTTGCAGATCTTATAATTTTCCATGATTCTTGATATTTATTTGCCAATTTATCATCGCTCTGCTCCAAATCTGTAGCTTCTACCCACTTTTTGAAGATTATTTATATATATATATATGTAATAGTTTTATTTCTTCAATTAATCATAGTAATATTAGTATTATTATTATTATTATTATGACAACATACTTTGATAACAAGTCTTCTTCCACATTTCATTCCAGAATGTTCAAGTGCCTTTACAACAGAAAGATATGAATCTTGAAGTGAGGTATATTTACCAACAATAGCAATTGTAACAGGTTTTGAAAGAAGATCATGTCTTTTTTTAATAAAAAACAATAAAAATCTATTACACTTCCTTTTAAAAATAAAAAAGTAATTGAGAAAATATAGATACAATATACTTACTCTTCGGTCAACATTATCCATTCTCTCAACAGATGCAAACCATGGTTACATTGTTCTTGTTTGATATTAATAAGATTTAGGCTAAGTCTTGTAATCAAAAATTTCAATACTCCTTGTTCTGATAAAAGTAATGGAACATGATATGTTGAAGATACATCTCTTACTGAAACAACCTATATTATATGTGTATTGGAGAATTAAAGAATTAAAGAATGATGATAATCTAATAATCTATTTTTTAATTTTAGATAACCATGTATATATTTAATTCTCTAATACATACTTGTTCTGGACCAACATGGCAAAACATTGATATCTTTCTTCGAACATCTGGGTTTAATGGTTGTGAACAACGACATACAATCTAATATTTATAAAAGAAAAAAAATTAGAAAAAAATACATATATGCATATATAATAATAGTGAGATTTTACCAAGTCAGGTGATAATCCTAAAGATCTTAATTCTTTAATTGTGGCTTGAGTAGGCTTTGTTTTTTGTTCACCAACTGGACCAACTATAGGAACCAATGAAACATGGGCTAATGCAAAATTTTCATGTCCAACATAAAATTGAAATTGACGCATTGCTTCAACAAATGGAGCAGATTCAATGTCACCAACTGTACCACCAAGCTATATAATTACATTAATTGATTTTTAGAAATCAATAATTAGCTCACACATACTCTCTCTTTGTAGATATAAACACCTACCTCAATTATGCAAACATCAGGTTCTTGACCACTTGAATCAACTGGTATTTTAGAAACATTTTCAACCCATTCTTGAATTGCATCAGTTATATGTGGTACCACTTGAACAGTTTTTCCAAGATACCCTCCTTTTCTCTAATTAAATAAATAACCAATTAATTTAAAGAATCAACCAATCCTTTTCACCATCACATCATCATCATCAATTATTAATACTTACTTCTCTGTTGATGACTTTTTGATATATCTTCCCTGTAGTAATATTATTATCTCTTGTAAGGGTAACATCCAAAAATCTTTCATAATTACCAAGATCAAGATCAACTTCACCACCATCATTCAACACAAACACTTCACCTAAATTATTATTAATTTAACACATACACATGTATAGGCAGATAGGTACATTGATTGATTGATTGATTTATTCATTTTTTTCAAGTATAAATGTTGTGGCACAAGAAATGATAAAATAACACATGCATGTTTTAATGATTATTATTACAATAAAATTAAAAAAAGTCATTTTATTTTTTAAAAACTAACCATGTTCAATAGGACTCATAGTTCCAGCATCAATATTCATATATGGGTCAATTTTTATTGCAGTCACTCTTAAACCAAGAGTTTTTAATAAAAGTCCTAGTGAAGAGGCAAAGATACCTTTACCAATTCCAGAAATTACACCTCCTGATACTAAAATATATTTCATCTTTTGATTTTATTGTAGAGAATATTATGTGTGTGTGATTTATTATTCTAAAAATTTTTATTTTTTATTTTTTTTATTATTTGTTATTGTTTTTGAAAATCAAAAGAAATTTACGACACCTGAAAGGAAAAAGACAAAAAGACACGATCATGCGCGTAAAAATAAAGGTCAGGGGTATACATGGGATGGTAATTGTTTTGCCAAAAACGTAATACGTAATTAGGAAATTATTTACGAAGTTAATTACGGGTGACGAAAATTAATTACGCGTGACGAAATCAATTACGAACAACGAAATTAATTACGAGTGACGAAATTAAATGACACCTATTATTTATCCCGTTATACTAGTATAATGACAGAATTTGTCAACTTTTTAGAATTATAGAATTTATTCTGTTATAACGACATGTCAATATAATGGGAGAACCAATCAAAATCATTCTGATCATTCCTGAAAAACATAATAATACAGTCAAAATTTTTGAAATATTATGTGATCCACACATTGGATTTTAAAAAACCCACCACCATTCAATTCAGCTTTAAAAAGGGAGTCTATTAATCTAAAAAAAAATTTGTCTCAAATTTTCTTTTTCATAGATTTTTTAAATTTGAAAGTTATGCTCAGAAGTGCAACAATAATTTTCGTGTTACAATATTTTGAATCTCATGACCAAATTTGGTAATGATTTTCTTTTAATGTAATATGTTCGTTAAACTTTTTTGTTGTAAAGAACTTTTATTTATTAATAAAAAAAGGAAATAAATAAATCAAATAAATCAAATGTATGTTGTAGAAAATATTCTATGAAAAAAAAATTGTTACACGAAATTTACTTAGTCTCAATTTCTTAAATGTATAACAAAATTCGGAATTTTCAAAATGCTAAGGCTCTGCCAATTTTCAGTTTAAGAAAAAACCAGCCGATAAGTTTTGAAGCTTGAGTCATGAACAATAAAACTTATCGGTTAAATTTTTTAAAATGATATAATTTTTTTTTTGTTTTAGTATTTTGAAGTTGACCAATTGTTACTATAAGCAATTAATGATTATAGATGATCTGCACCTTTCCACTCCTTTTAACCAGTAATCTTTCAGGGCATCATCTGCAGTTGGTCGATCACAAGGATTTTAAAGAAAGAGAAAAATTAACTCTAGAAAAAAGGTTTCCAACCATCCAGATATCATTTGCTGTTTGACATAAATCTTCTCCATCTCTATATTCTGAAGCTGCAATATTTAATGGAAGTCTATAACAATAATTGCAATAATTATTTAGTCAATAATGTTTAACTACCATGCTTGAGTCAATTCAATTAGTCTATTACTACTATACCTTAATTCTCCAATCTTGGCAACTTCTTCAAAGTCAATTAATATCCAACTATCATTTGTAAGTCTTTTAATATTTTCCCAGAAAATATCCTGATGGACAACTTTCATTTCATGAAGTTTTTTTACAATTTCAAGTATATTAAATATGGTGGTTTGCAGCTCATCTTCATTTGTAGGAATTGCTTCATATCCAATTCTAAATATACCAAGTTTTTGGTAGTTTTGTAATTAAGTTTCTTGTATTGTCCTAAGTGTGAAAAAATATTATAATAAAATTCCTTGTGGAAATCTATATCAGCAATGAAACTCTTGTTTATTTTTTTGATGATTTTTTGGGGGAGTAATGTAATTGTACCATTTGTTTGTTGGATTACATCAAATAACTTTAATTTTGGAGTTTGTAAATATTGATAATGATTCAAAGTTTGAAAATTTTGAATAAAATTGATTGTATATTGAAGTGCCATATAATTGTATAATCAATTTTGAGTTCCAAGTGCTAGGAGGGTACCAATTTTCTTATGTACTGGTTTATTGTTTATGTTGTCCACATAATAATAATAAAATTGCAATTTTGTACCAGCTGCTGCAAAAGCCATGATAAATGGTAATCTACCAAAGGCAAGTGGGTTCCAAAAATCAAAGTATTCATCTAAGTCTTTTTCTGCATCTTCCAATCAATAATTAACATCTTTCTTCTCACCAATCATTACAAGCACTCTATTATAATAGATTGTGACATCTGGTCGAACTCTCTTATTTTCTGTGGTAGTAGTTGTAGGTTTAATAACCTTGTTATGATTCCAATCGAAATTACTACAACCAAGAGCATACTCTTGGGCAAGATCAATCATATCCATAATGTGGTTATTGATAGTATTTGAAGTATATGCTTCTCCACCAACACTTTCTCTAAAGGACTTGCCCATGACATTAACAAGGATACTAGATATCCTAGGAACATAAAAAGGATTTGAATATACAGATTCAAGTTTATCAGGAAAGTTGTCAGCACAACTGGGAAGAGATGGCAATTTAAGTAGTAGTGGTTTTGAAAGGAATTGTTCAAGATTATTACAACTAATTTCCTCATCAAAAGGATGCAAGAGTTTTCCTAGGAAATCCATTGTGTTATCTAAATAGTTAAGTGACAAATAATCATTATTATAATATGTGAGTCTGTGAAGGAAAAAAAGAATATTAACATTAAAGATCAAATAAAAATTATGCTAAAGCCTAAAAAAACATATGCATAAAATCCAGAACTTTACCTTCAAGTTTTATCTTTTTATTTGATAAGTCAGAGGCTAAAAATAATGAAAAAAGAATAATTTGTCAAAAAAAAAAGTTAGTAAAAAGTATAATGAAAATAAATAAACAAAATAGAATGAATGGAAAATAATTTTTTTATATTTTTCTACACAATTTGTTCATTACCTTCTTTACCGAAATTAACTAAAGCATTTTGCAAATTCAATTGGTGATGTTTTTATAATGTTCCAATACAAGGTGGGATTATTTACCTTGTTTTAATGTCAATGAGAGAAAAACAAAGACTTATAAAACATATTAATATCCTTGAATTTGTTCAAAACTCAAACAACATTTTTTTATTGATAAGTAATGATCATTAATTATGTTTGCATAAAGGAGAATTTTCTTTGTAGTAAAAAAAAATTGTAATAATAAAATTATTTTCCTTCCAAGGGTTTCTGCTTTTTGTTAGATAATAGCACACTTTCCTAATGTTTATTATTTTTCTTTCTTCTTGGTAAATTTCATAAGTAATCCTTTCTTTGTCTAAATACATTTGCAAAGATTTGGTATCTGCTAATTTAAAAATGTAAGGAGCAATTTTTTCACCTTGTTCTTTCTTCAGAATACTTCTAATAGTGCTGTAATTTTTGGGTTCCATAGTATACCTGATATAAATTAACTTCATATTAACTATTTTTATATAGAGGTAATTCTATATATCACTTAACAAATTATAATCACATTACAAATTTTGATGTAACACCAATGTTCACTTTGTCTGGTTTTGTTGCAGCATGCCCCAAATAGTCTCTATTATCTTTAATGTTACTTTTTTCCAACATTTTATCATAGATAACTTTTTTCATTGCATATGAACACCTGGATATTCAATTTCGAATGGTTTCTACTTTTGGAATTTGTTCAAGTGTAAAATTATTATTATTATTTACTTCTTCAACAAGTTCCTGGTGGTATCTTTGGCTTTTATCATCATCTTTTCAACCACTCACCAAGTTTATAAAAGTAACATTGGTAAAAAAAACTTAGCTTTGAAGTAAAAAGTAATGCTGTTTTTGAATAAATATAGCTTGACATAAAAAGCCTCTGAGATATTTTGAAAAACTGATTGGTTACACGAGTCATATTTTTTATTTTTATATGGGGTCTGTACTAGGAAAATCATGCTTCCAGCTATTTTTTTTTTTTTTGTCTTTTTACTCAACAATAATCTCTAATAAAGGATTTACAGTTGGTGAAAAAATTGGACCCTGTTTGCATAGTAGAAAAATGAGATACAAGGCTTGGAATATTTTATTAAAAACATATGTGTAACCAAATTTATAAGGGTTGTTACTAAAAATAGATTTTTTGTCTGGAAGCTTGACAAACCCCATATAGACAAGAATTTAAATAGGAAAAATAATAAGTTACACACGCCTTTCGTTTTTTATATAAATATATTAATTACACTTCTCGTGACATTTGTTTGACTATAATAATAATTCCCTTTTATGTCGACAATTTACAGTATAAAAGGTTTCAAATGGTTTTTTTGTGTATTCTCTCTTATATACTAGACAATGTTTAAATTTGCATTCCTTAATTATATATATATTTTTTTAATCAGTTTTCATTGTGTAGTAACAGCATATCAATTCTCATTTTCTAATATAGAAAATGATCCTTTCAAGCAAATAACTAGTAAAACTTTTCAATTGAAACACGTTTTTCATCATGGTGTTGATACTGTCGCAGACAATTTATTCATTCGTTTAGACATTGATGAAAATAAAAATTGGGTTTCTACTTATATTATTGATGTTATTGAAGCTTCAATGTTGCATTTTAAAGAAATTTTCATGTCACTTTTAAATAAGAAAACTAAAAGTTTGCCAAACCCAAAAGATAAAAAAATAATTCTTGGCTTAGCAAAAATGTCATATGATGCATATATTGATTTAGACGAAACAGACCAATGGGTAATTTTGAGTGGAAGTTGGGATGTAAGTATAGATAAATAAAAATAAATAAATAAATTTCCCAAAAAACTTTTTCACCACACACACAAATTCACATTCACAATAGAAACTACCATTTGGATGGAAAGATAACGGAATTAGAGGTTATGTTTATGCAGATGAATCAAATTCAACAGTTATTATTGGTATAAAAGGAACTAGTATAAATTGGATTAACGGAGATGCGCCAACAGCAGGAAATGATAAATATATTGTAAATATTTTATTATTATCATCATTATCATTATCATTATCATTATCATTACCGTTATCGTTATCGTTATCGTTATCGTTATTGATTTAATTGATTAATTTAGGATAATTTGATGTTTTCATGTTGTTGTGCAAAAGTTGATTTTCTTTGGAATGGTGTTTGTGGCTGCCATATCGAAGGACAACAATGTAATTCAACATGTATAAGTAGCGAAGTTTATCAAAAGAATACTTATTATAGTAATGCTTTGGTAAATATTATATTTATATTATTGTCACTGTTGTTGTTGTTGTTGATTAATGTGAATTTGAATTTGAAAAGAGAATTTATGAAGAAACCCAAAAAAATTATCCTAATTCAACAATATGGTTGACTGGTCATTCACTTGGTAATAATTAATTTTTAATATGAAAAATATATAATATGCTTTTTAATATTTAAAAAAAAATCATTATATACTTTTTGATAATAGGTGGATCACTTGCTTCACTAGTTGCGCTTAAATATAAAGTTCCTGCTGTAACATTTCAAGCTCCTGGTGATTTATTATATGCTAAGCGTTTAGGTTTAGATACAACTGATTCATATAAATTACCGATATACCATTTTGGTCACACAGGGGACCCTGTATTTATGGGCGAATGTAATGGATTAGCTTCTACATGTTATCATTTTGGATATGCTGTAAATATATTTGTTTTTTTATTTATTTTATATAATATTAATAATATTAATATTAATAGATTTTGAAATGAAATAAATGTATTTAGATGGAGACAAAATGTCATACAGGAAATACTTGTTCATATGATACAATTTCTAAATTTGGATGGAGATCAGAAATCAAGAATCATTCATTACTTTTATTCATTAAAAATGTTATTGAAAAATGGATTGGTGATGATGATAATGATGTTGTAGAATGTGATCATGACGAGTATTGTGAAGATTGTGGTTCTTGGGAATTTTCATAATTATTATTTTGTAATTGAAAAAATTAAACTTTTTGGTGACTTCATTTTTATGCTATTCATAACTTTAATATTATCAGAAATTATTTGTGTGAATTATTTTCTACCCGAAGCCTCTCCACCATTCAACTATACACTTTTCCTCCCCATATTACAATGTGTTGTTGACTTTGAGATAGACATTTCTACAATATTTTTAACTGATAAAGGTCACAATTCCCCATGAAATTCATATTAATATCCCAACGCGACAATCGATTTTTGGGTAACACGAATTTCATAATAAACATATCAGCCAATTTGGTTTTTTGGATCCTTTTTTTTCAAACATTATATATTAATATATATCTCGACGTTAAACACGTTAAACATAATGTGTAAACTGGTCAATATAATGATAATTAACCCCCAAAAAATTTATTTGCTCCGCTAAAAAAACTATTTTACTATATATTTGATCAAACCAATGGGCCCGCCTCAAAACCAATGGGGTACTGGATTTTGGGGTCCAAACAAAATCAGCGCATATGAAGTAAAGAATGATCAATTGAGCTTCCTCAGGCAATCATATCAGAGGAGAAAACTCTTACCATACCATCACGGAGTCCTTTGACTTTAATTTATTATAATGGAAACAGGACAAATTTCATTATATACTTATAATATAAAGAGGTTTATATTATATCGAGCAATTTATGTTATGATCCACTCGGGCACTCTGTTTATTATTATCAAAAATTGCATATCCTAAGTCCAAGTAAAATTGTTTGTATAACCAGTGAAAACTTACGAGAGCTGTTTTCCTTAAAGAAACTTAAAATGTATAAATAAAATTTCAAAATGTCAAATAAAATAAAAACATAATTGGTGAAGAATGTTTCTTATGAAATAAGGAAATACGATAAAAACCATAATTTTATATGATTAAAAAAAAAGCACGCACAAAAAATTACATAATCACAAACATCGTTTAATCGTATAGATCTACGTCCTATATATTAATATACAAAGAATTCTTCGATTAAATATTTCGAATTTTCTAAGATGCATATTAATATGTATAGAGAAATAGACCTTTTCTACATTAATTTATTCAGTCATCACAGTCACCGCAGCCACAACATCCTGAACAATCACAACATCCTGAACAGCCACCACTTCCTGAATAGTCACCACTTCCTGAACAGTCGCCACTTCCTGAATGGTTTCTATGTCCTGAGCGATTACAACATCTTGAACAGATTCCGGAAAATAGATAAACGTCGGAACAACAGTCATGCCACGCACAACACATTGTAGCATCACAGGCGATGATGCAGCAATAACATCCACAAATGACATCACACCTTTCTTCTCCTTCCTCAATGCATTTAAAGTCACATTTACAGCAGCACATATTAATTACTCTAACCAATGATCTAATTAATGATCTAAGCGAATTATATAAACTATTGATCAAAAGACCACAATAATAAAGCATATAATGTAAATTAATAAAATCTACTAAATCCAGCAAGGGAATAAGTAAGGAAGCAAATCCATTACTACCATGTTTATGAGTGTATTTTGATGATAAAGAAAATTGTTGTTCTTCTGATTGTTCTTCTAATTTTGTTGTGGTTTTATAATAGAACACAAATCTAATTATCATTAAAAATGTTGAAATTAGCAATAATGAAGCTTCAATCTTAAACTGAATTGTTTTAACATTAAAAATATCAACTTCACTAATACTACTACTGCTATTGCTACCACTATTGTTATTAATAGTGTAATTCGATTTTTTTATTGTTCCTAATAATGGACTGAATTCAATTGGTTTCCGAGAGATTATAAATGATTTAATTAGAAAATAAATTGGCAATATTAAACTTGTATTATCTGATACGTTTGATAATTCAAAAATTTGAAGTAAAGATAATCTTTTTCTTCCATAAAGAATATAAAATTCCTTTTTTGCTTTAAATTTAAAAAAAGATTAGGGAATTAGGAAACAGATTATTAAGATACAATATATACAATACATAATTAAACACACCTAATATCATTCCGGCTTTTTCTTTAAAATTCAATAGTAAACCATTTTTTAATTTGCTCATTGATTCATTGAGTTGAATAATACCTAACATTCTTACCAAAATTTCAACAATAATATATATCAAAATCATTTCTTTAGATATAAATGTGAAATTTGGTATTTTTGCATTCTAAGTTATCAAACGATTATATTAATATAAACTTAATTTCGAAAAAAAATAGTTTTATTTAACGAGTAAAAAATATTAATATATACTTTGATAATCATATGACACAATACGATACTTCCAACTAACATTACTAGATTTAAAATCGCTACGAATGCATTATATAAAATATTTAAAATATAATTTACGATGATTTTATTATCATTATAATAATTCTCATTTTCATTATTGTTGACTTCGTGAATATTTATTATAGTATCTTTTAGTTTTAACTTTTTTAAATCATCATCATTGTCGTCAACATTATCGTGTTTTTTCATCGAATTTGGTTCATAAGTATATTTATTTTGATCCATTTTTTTTTTTTTTTTTTTAAAGATAAAAATTATATACACATCTATCTATATATTTTACACATTTGGCTTAGACAATCAATATCTAAGCCTTCCTTTCCTTATTGACATAATTTTAGAACTCTTCAATGATCCACACAATGTATGCTCACTATTACTATCTATATATTAATTAATATATATATACACAAAAATGATTGAAAAAAAATTCTCAATTAATTAGTAAACCAATTAACCAATCAACCTTAACCAATCAATTAATCAATCAATAAAAGTTGTATGCAAAAATTTGTAATCAAATAGTGCTACTTCTTCTAATATTAACCATAGCAGTTTAAGAAGAAGTACAAGCGAAATTGCAAGCTAAACAACAAACAAATTTTTTACCAAATAAATTTACCTCAGAATTTTCATTTCAAAATTTAAAACCACACAAATGGTTTTTAATGACAGTATTACTAGTGATGTTGTTTCTTTTGGTCAAATAACAACAACAGAAGAAGAAGAAGAAGAAGAAGAAGAAGAAGAAGAAGAAGCAGAAATAAAAGAAACAATTTCAATGCCAATAGCAGTAACTACAACAACTCCAGAAAGAACATCTCTAACAAAAGTAACACTCGAACTTTTTACAAAAATTGGTGAATATTTGAATCACGATCTGGGCATAAAATCTGTTGACTATGTTTACGATTTTCTTTGTAAAGTTAAAGATGTATCAAGGAATAATCGAGAACATATTATCAATATAATAAATCAAACGCGTGATCCGGTAATTTTACAAAAGCTAGTAAAAGAAAGATGTAGTTATATTTTAAGAAATTGGATAAAAGAAGAGGCAAAGTTTCCTGATAGCTATTTACTTTTTAAACTATTGAAAACTGTACAACATCTATCAATTGATTTGGAAATGTCGACAAGTTGTGGCCTGGGTAGAGTTGTCAATAATAAATTGGTAAAGGAATCGAACATACCAGGTGTTGCCGAGATCGCGTCTGATTTATTGAACAGATGGTTACAAGATGCTAAAAAAATGCCTGAATCTACAGCCGGAAATAATATCCTTGTTCCCGCAAAAAGTTCTAAATCAAATGATAATGGTTCAGTAACGACCGAAATAAAAAAAGAATCGACTAATTCTGTTGTAAAAGGTATTTTTGATGATATATTTGATCTTCCTTCCACCTCCACAACTTCTCCCTCATCTTTTATGGTCGATCATCAGTCATTAAAAAATGCCAATACAAATATTCAGACAAAAACTAGTAACGCTGCTATTACTACCATCATCACATCATCGTTATTGCCGTCATCATCTCCTGTTGGTGGAAATCAAATTGAAACATGCGAACCTTCAACCCTTTCAAAGAAAAGGAAGCGTGTAAGCTTTGCCCCAGATTTTATGCTTGCACAAGTAAAATATTTTGGAAATGAACGTTCTGATGGTATAAAAGATGTTACATTAAGCACCATTGGTAGTGGTTGTTCTTCTCGTGATATTGAGGATGTTAGAGACCTCGATCGTCGTGAGAGAAAAGTTGCTTTGAAAAGATTACGAAAAACACCATACACAAGATGGTATACTCCATTATTCATAAGGCCACGACTAACTAATAAGAAAAAGAGAAAAAAGATATGGGATTCTAATGTTATAGTGGATAGCCTAGAAGCAATAATTCAAAAAAGTCGCGAAGAAGAAACTTTAGAAGTTATTTATCCTACGGTTGATCAAGTTCCTGAAAACCCATACGAATCGCAAGACTTACTATTCGCCGTCTCAACATCTAAAAAGATAGAGGAGCCCAAAAAAATTCCATTTGATCCAGATGGACCAGCTAACGATCAGCTGACTCAAAGACGTGAATTGAAAAAGGCTATAACAAATACTTATTCTATGTGGTTTGAAGCTCATCCTAACGAAATGCCACCCATTGCAACTGTTCAACAACTTCCAAATCCTAATACATGGAGTTATGAGCCAAACCAAAACATTTCCGATGATTTTAATGTTGGTTTGGCAGCAATGCCAATACCAGGAAGAATTGATGCTGCTAGTAGTAAGAATAATAATAACAATCAAATTATTCCAAATTATTATGATTCAAATGCTTCTATTTCTACTCCAGACTTAGTCCCTCCATCGCATTTACAACAACAACCATTACAACCTCCAACACCATATCAATCGCAACCATATCAATTACCAAAATTTTCACAACCAAATCAACCATCATTTCAATTTCCTTATTATGACGATAATAATAATTCTGCTTCAAATGTTCAACCAAACTATTGTCCATTACCGGCATCGCCTACACAGGACCCACAGGACCTTAATAGTAAAATATTTGTTTCATCACAATTCCAATTTTCTGCCCAGTATCAATTGCCTTCAGCTACACAACCTTCGAAATTTATTAATATTGCTAATGGTGTTAACAATAATGATCAACAAAACCATCAACAACAATCACAATCAACTACAGCTGCTACAGCTACTGGTACAAATCCTAATACAAATAATAATAAGAATAACGACAACAACAACAATAATATTAGAGGAGGTAGATGTGATTTGGTTGGAACTAGCAACGGTAGACCAGTTAGTGGAAGAGGATCAGAATGTTGGTATTATAAATTTGGGAAGTGTATTCTAGGTAATGATTGCAGATTTCTTCATACGGGTTGATAATTATAAATTTTTTAAATTTTTTAATAGTGAAACTATCAATCAATAATAATAAGAATATAAAATTTTTTTTGTTATTAGATTAAATTAGATGATTTGCTAGCATTTTATTTTTTTTCCAAAAAAAAAAAAAAAAAGTGATTAATGTATAAAAATTTCAATATTTTTGATATATTATAACGTATATTTGCATAAATCTCTTGATATAATATTCATTCTAGAAAGGTAACGAAGAAAAAATATTGTTTTAAATTTTTATTAATAATTCCCCCCACTCGATAAAAAATAAAAATGAATATTATTACCTTTATTAGTGTTGTTATTATTTTCATTATTGTTATTAATCCAACTACCACTACCTCCATTACTACTTGCATCACCGCCATTGCTACGAACACTGCCGCCATAAAAACTATAATAAAGAGTCGGCACCAAAATTGCAACTACAGTGAAACCTTGAGCACCGACACGAAGTCTCATCATTTTTTGCATTTTAGCTGAATCGCCACGTTGAAATGCTGCAGCACTAGCAACCAAAGCACCAATTGTCACGGTAAGGCCTTATGTTGAATAAAAAGAAATAAGAGAATTATTATTATTATAGTAGCAGTAATAGTAGTAGTAATAATTAAATTAGGATGATAAATTAAGAAAAAGGTATGAAACAAGCGAACCAACAACAACCAATGGATTTTCTTTAAGACCACGAATGAATCGATTGTCTTTTTTTCCACTATTACTGCTAATGATAACACTATTATCATAATTAAAACTGTTTGCGTTCCTTGATGATGAATTTGAGTCTGGTAATGACATTTTTTTTGCTTGAAATTCTTTTTATATGAATGAATGAATGAATGAATGAATGCGTTTTGTGAAAAATTCAGATTTCAAAAAATCGGGATTTATCATAGTGGACATTTGATTTCATTGGCAGAATTTTGTGACGATTTCCCCTTCCAGATATCACGCAAAAATTAAAATTTTATTGGCTTGAAAATCATTACGCAAGTTTGAAAACAAAAATAATGGTATCGAAGGAGGTAAAAGTAGTTACATAAAATCATCATATCTATTATATATTAACAATAAATTTACACTTGTTAATAAAAATGATCTATTATTTATTATTATTATATAAATATAATTAATTGGAGTAGTGACATTTTTATGTTAATAACATTCTCTTGATTAATCAAAACGTATAAGCGACCTACTTTTCAAACAATTCTCTTGAATAAAAGAAAATAATAATTAACACTCAAATAATTAAATCCAATACCCAAAACTATTTTTGTCAGTAAGATTGCCTATTCAATCTGATCCACATATAACACATAAAACAATTTTGTTTGTTATCAATCACCTTTTTTTTTGAATTATTATTATCTGTTGAAGAGAATTTTTAGCAACTAAATTACAGATATATATATTATACATATGTATTGATGGCCATTGTAATACTGCTAGCACATTGGTCCCCTAAAAGATATATATACACATGTGTGTTTAAATAACTCTTGCACTATATATAATAAAATAAAAAATTATCCAAGAATTTAGTAGATCAAGTTTATTATAACAAAAAATCTTGATTACAATTCATAATAATATTTATTTACAGGTAGCCTTCTCCTATTTTCTTTCTCTCCATTTTTCATCAATAATAATAATAATATCCATTATTATTATTACTGTTGTTGTTATTATTAACATTCATATTATTTTATGTGATTAAAATTACAATGCTTACCAGCTGGTTAGTTCTAAACTACCATCTAATAATAACTATGATTATTATGATCAAAGAGGATGAACAAGAAGGTGGTAACGTTAATATATGGTCATGCTTATCATCATAAATGTTTGGAATTTTATAAAAAGGATGTTGTCTCATGTAAAATCCTATATAAATAGATGAGAAAAAGATAATGATTTGTTATTTGATGAAATATTAAACGAAGAAAATGAAGATGACAATAGTGAAATAACAGATGATTTCAGAAATGCTTTAGTATTGGTTAAATTTTAAATAAACATATTATTATTATAAAACAAGATGTAGGATTCTGAGCCTAGAATGCCTTACAATATACTCAAGTCGATCGCTGAAGCCCGAAATTATAGTTCCTATATAACCCTTTGATCGTATGATCATTTTTTCACTGTTAAAGAAACGTATCTCAGGTTAAACAAGTTTTTGTGCCCTAATAAAAAAGATCAACAATTGATTTTGTTATGTGTGATAAAGCGAATGTCCACTATGCTTTATAGTGATACAAAAATTATTTTCCAAAATGCCAGTTCCTTTCGAAGCGATTATACCTTTAGGTAATAACAATTTATTCATTTTCTCATTATTATTTGTTAAACCAAATTATAAAACAATTTTATATGTGTATATATTTTGTTAGGTATAATAATTGGAATGTTTGGAGTTACTGGTACATTAATAAATTTATCTAGAAGATATCAACATGATTGGAAGGTAAACAAATATTTTTTGAATTTAAATTTTTGTTCCTAGTTATTATCATTATATGATTTTACTACTTATAATATTTATTATTATTAATATATTTTTATTCATTGTAGCCGGAAAGATTTCAATTAGATCGTTGGGATAAATTGATGATGGAGCGTGATAGAAGATTAACTGGAAGCCTTTATGGACAAACCGTTTAGTATTATTTTCAATTATTTTGTTATTAAAAAAAATTTTTTTCATAATTTATAATTTATAATTATATATTTTCCACAGTCAAATCCAACAGCTCCACCTTCATTTTCTACAAATAGTGTTTGGTATTTGAGTAATAAATTCATATAATCATAAAGAGAATAAATTCAAGATAAATTTATTAAATTATTATAAAAATTATAAAGTCAATATTTGATACAAATTAACACATACAGTAAATTATCATTTCAACATGGATTATATTTTCTAATAATAAAAAAAAGATATCACAATAATAACATTATAAATAGTTAATTATCATTATTATATCTTCTGATGAAACTTCATATGGGAAACTGGGCTATAATAGACTAAAATCTAATATAGAAAGCTTTGAAAAAAAAAATCCTGGAATGACTAAATGATCCAGAACTGTGATATGTGTCCCAATGCGAATATTTATAATAAAAAAAGCTTATTCTTAATATTCTTACCCCCCTCCTCTTGAACCTTCAAATTGTATACCGCCATTTTTGTATATTAACTAGATCTCAAGAAACACAACATTGTGATAGCGAGTGAGGTTATTTTGATAGTGTGAAAGTAAAGGCACAGGTGGTAATGATGTAGGTAGCCTTAATGACATTACTTTGCAATAAATTCCACTGGACCATTTTTGTGAATTCTTCTTGCCAATCCCTTCATTTAGAAGTTCATAGAACAACTAAGACAACACCTAATTTGTTAAAAAGAACAATTAGTTCAAACATTTTATCCTGAGCATCAAACTCATGAGTTATTGTTATCTCACAGCTTACAGCAACAGGTCAGTGAAAGTAATGGTATCACAAATGGAAACAATAGCTACAAGTTCTACTACCAATTCACTAATGAGACTTAAAGAAACAATGGAAACTTATCATTCTCAACCATACCATGTAATGCCATCCAGAGATAGCTTATATTCCCTCGGATCATCAACAACAAGCGGATGAATCGCCATCTTTTTCAAGTCCATCCTGAGGAGCTTCCACTTGCATGTACTAAACCATCCACAAGTTCGCCTAATCAACAATCACTTCCTCCTTATCAATAGTAATACGTTTATCTATTTGTGTTTTTTAGTGTGCATAATAACAATCAAAATCATTGCTGATCATCGCCCATTTATTATTGAAAATCAATGTGTATTGATTTATCATTCTAATTATCGCCATATATATAATATAAACTACAATATCATTAAATAAAAAAGAATAAAATATTCCTTCAAGTGAATAATTATTTTTTCTAACCATTAAATTTTATACAGCGTAGGATAGCGACGAACTGTCATAGTTTCATACAGCGAGAAATCGGTATTGTATAGAATTGAAGTGATAGTGATATTTGCGGAAAGAATTGAAAACGATTTGTGAAATGTATATTACTGAAAGGTTTAAACAGAAGATTTAGATGTTTTGATAATCCGAGGTTCAGATGATGATACTAATGTTAAAAAGTCAAATAATCAGGAAGGAGCTTTCAAAAAAATGGTTAGTTAATGTTAAAATATGAATGGCCAAATGACAAGGAAGGAATCTTAATGTTTTATGGCGAATCAGAATTGTTTCAATTTGTGGGAAATGGTATTTACCAGATTATCTTTTTGTTACTGTTGAGAAGAATGAGCTAATTTTTAAAACTGTCGCATGTTCAAATTAGTTATAGGTGATTTACTTCCATTTATTATGTGATAATATCCAAATAATGTTAGCAAACGGAATATTATCAAAATATGTTTACGTAATGAATAATAATGTTGGAGGGGATGTGGTTAATAATAAAGGGTAAAATGAATTTTAATTCCAATCAACCAAGCCTAATTTCTTTTTTTATGATTAAATGCTATAATATATGTACACACACATACTAAAAAAATCAAAAATTAGTGTCACACGAATTTCTGCATGAATGAATGAATTTAAAAGTTCATTTTACAAAGTAATGGGAAAAAAATATATGTAAAGAAATAAATATTTAGCACAAATGAAAATGAAGATTCCAAAGCGCTATCCTCTTGTTCTAACTTTCTCTTCCTATCCATCAACATCCAATTATTCCAATTTGATATGTTTAAATTCCATCTTTAATTTCAAAGACCTTAACCAATATGACAATCTAAGTTCTTTTGCTTTGAAATAAAACAAATCTGATTTTGTGATAGTATTGTCATCATTATTATCAATATTTTCAGTATGCAATCTTTTCAGATCGTTCTTCTTCTTTGAAATTTGTCCGACGGTTCTGGGATTTGAATATTTTGAAATTATTTTTTTAAGTTCTTTTAAAAGTTTATCTAAAGATCTGTAAAAACGGATGTAATCTTGTTTTTCAATAATTTTTGGTTTGATGAGCGAACATGAGAAGTTTAATGGCGTGTTTAAATAAGTTTGGATTGTTGCGTCCATTCGTTTTATTTCATTTATAAGCTTGGTTTTATTCATCTTTAAGTATTTGGATAATTTATTTCTTTGAGTTTGTTTATAAAATACGTTAAATGTATGTTTAAAAACTGTTTAAAAGGGTTTTCTGTAATTACTATATTGATATTAGGTAGGTGACAAGTTTATTTTTTAAAATTTATTATTTTGAATTTTTCTAAATTTAAAAAAAACCAAAACGAAGAAGGAAATTATTTATTATTATTTTTATTATTGTCACAAAATATGCTGCAAATTTTCATCGTACACGTGATTTTTAACAAAAAACATCATTTTTAAAAATTAGAAATTTCCCTGAAGATCTCGCTAAAAAAGGCAAGTGAAGTCCTTTTTTCCGCGAATTTTAAATCATACGAGTTGTTAGAGGATTGTGCAGTGTCCTATATTAATTAATCGTCAATTACCTTATAGTTATAATTAATTCATTCCTCATTCTTCAATTCACTTCTCCAATTCTTCAAATGAATCGAAAAATGGAATCGCAGAGAAAAAGGGCAATAATCTGAAACACACACAATCAATTCTTAAAAATTTAAATGAAAGAAGGCACATATTTGGAAAAGAGCAACAGGTTTAGTAAACATAAAAATCATGTGGAGCTTGGCGGGCTTGCATGTGCATATATTGGAGTACCCGTAGATTTTATTTTCGCCAGTGAAGCATATATTAATAAAAAATAATTATATAATATATATGTGTATATATGTATATATTATTGAGACAACGAGGGATGATATTAATATTAAGAACTTTTAACTGGCCATTTGAAAAATTTGAATATTAGTATTATTAATATATTATTATCAATAATAACATTATTTGCAGCAATCATTATTATTTGAATCAACTTATTTTCTTTCAACCATTACTATTGCTGTTATCGCCGTCATATTTAGTGTTTGTCCTGATAAACTTGCTAAATCATCTTTCGCCTTAGTTGTCCAACTAGTCCTACCTGTTAAAAAAAAACAAATCATGTTTGAAATCTGCCTTCCAATGAAAATTTAAAGATATAAAGGATATAGCGGAAAATGAATTGAACAAGGATTCACACAATCAAATCCATGGATTATTCACATCAACTTTGCAATTTTTTAATGAATTGATTATTATTATAGTTGTTGTTGTTATTGTTAATTTGAACCTCGTAGTAAAGAAAATTAAACTGTGTAACATGAGTACACTTTAAAACATCGAAAAAAAAAAGTCTTTATCACACCATCCATGTTCTTTCTTATCCTCCAATTTTGTCACCATTCACAAATTCTTCTCTTTAAGAAAAATATATATATTAATAAATTACATAATCATTTTTCTGTTTTTAACATACATCAACCTTCTTTACGGAATAAAAAATAATAATTCATGCGTTGTTGTTGATTACTTGTAATTTCTTTTTGCGACAATTAATTTATTTCTCGTTTTTTATTGCAACAAAACCAGTCAAAGTGAATATTATGTCACTGGTCCCTAACTAATTTTAAATTTCTGTTAATTAAAGCATCAGAATTAATGATCAAAGGAATGTCAAAATCGCTCGTTGATTCCCTGATCTTAAACAATGAAATTACGTCTCTATACAATTATATAGAATTAAACAAGATTATATTAATATATATAATATTACGGCAGAAAAAATTCCTGATGACTCTATTAAAAGCTAGGGCACTCACCTAATCTCAAGACTGATTAATATGTCATTCTGCTAAATTTTCATCATTATTTGACAACAATCAACTTAATAACAATTCATATCTTTTTCATATTCTTCATGGTCATAGTAATTCTGTTTGTTCTTTAGTGGGCGAAGGGAATCTTTTAATTGGCGATAATGATGACCAGACAGTAAGGACTTGGGATATCAAGATGAACGAATAAATCTGTGGATGGTGCTGTTAAAGTTTGGAATCTTAAAGACGGAACAAAACTCTGGACAGTAAATGGTATCTAAAATGTTTTTCATTTTTCATTTTCCATTTTCCTGTATCCAATAATTAAATTTACTTTTTGCTAATAGGAACAGGATATTTGAATACTATCTACATTTTTCAATAGGTTACCTACAGACAATGCAGAACTTTATGTATTGGATCCTGATAATGGTGATATAAAAAAGACGTTTTATACATTTGGTGGACTAATAAAATGTTTTTTATAAAATAGTAGCCGCAACTGATCAAGGCTTCTATATATATTTATTACAGTAGTGAAGGTGTTAAAAGATAATTTATCACGTGATTATTATACTTGTGGTTCTATATAACTTTTTTCAATGCTGCTGCAATTCTTTGCCCTATTTTTACTTTTGCTATTATTATGTTTAAAAATTAGGCCACTGACAGCCTCTGGATTTAAATCGAAGATTGCTATTTAAAAGCATTACGGGTTAAAGCTACTTCTATTTGAAACACTATATGTTGAAGGAATAAACCTAGTATTAACGTCATGAACAACATTACAAGTTTTATGCTAATGATCACACTCACTTTGTTGGTATATTATCTTATAAGATAAAGAGAAACAAACGGGTGTCTATATAATTTTGAACCTGTCCTGACGTCCATCGATTGAATTTCATCACCTTTAACTTCTCCGACTTCTTTACTTATTTAACTTCTCCAACTTCCATTAATTCCGGATTATTTTTTCTATATGCATCTATTTAAAATTATAAATCTTTGTTAATATCAGAGTTAAACAAACAACAAAGATGTACGTACAAAAAGTACAAGAAAAACGAGAATATAACCAAACGTCTTTCCAAAAACGTGTACAGTAAATTTCCTGCTTAACAAGTAGTTCTTTTTTTTAACTCTATCAAAAACGTGTATGTCCGTCTGTATATTATATCTATCTGCATATTATATTGATTATCATAACTGTTGAAGCTCGGCCAAACCCATCTAAAAAATTCAATTAAATCATAAATATATTCATTCACAAACAATGTTGATTTTTAGATAGTAATAGTAATAGTATATGTAACGTAACCGCATCAGGAGAACAAGACATGTAATTAGGCGTGAATATGCAGTGAAGTTAAATCTTCCACAATTTTATGAAACAACTTTTAATTGCACACCAGCCACGAGACTTGTTTAGCAATTCGATTTGACAAATTAGTAGATTACAACCTCAAGCTGCTGTATCTTTGGGTGATCACCTGGAGGTAGGATTTTATTGATGTATATGATCAAGCTGATACTTTCCCTTCGGGGTGGACTTATTATATATCAAAACATCGAAGTTGTACCACATAACAATTTTATTTCTTGGCTTTAAATGTTTTTTTAGACCATCACAGTTCAAGCAAAATCTGTACATTCACCATATAAAGATGCTTTAAGTTGACTATCAAATTCATTATTGTTATTTATTTAATTTTTAAGAAAAGAAAATAATAATTGGTAACGATAATAATAATAATATTATTATTGTACAGTATATCTTATTCTGACAAAGTGAACGTCATACGTGAATTGCAAATTCATATAGATTTCATTTCATCATGCACACAAAATGTTAAATATCGGTATTTCTTCCTTCGCAAATGAAAGTAGCATTAACAATTTTTTATTTATCCATCTTGCATCGACGCAAGACATTTATTTATCTTTTTATTTAATATCAAATTTTTATACAACCATAATGATGATAAAAACAAACAATATTTATTATTTGAAATTTTTTAATAATAATATTTCTATTAGACAAGTTTTTATAAATCCAGTGTTTTACAGCTATATGAACCAACAGTACATAGTGTTTTATTGGAGAGTATTCTTATACTTTTTGGGCAAAGTTGTTTAAAGTTCCGAGGTTCATCCATACGATAAATGTGAAGATCATTTGTTGAGAGGCATTTCCTTACTGAAAGCTATGAATAAAAAATATAATCGATCAGTTCAATATGCGAATATATGAATTAGACACTTATTGCTCATTTTATAATATCTTCATGTAAGATTGAAAACACGTGACAAATTATGCGGGAAAAAGAACGCACGTCAAAAGATTAATGCAGTAGAAAGTTCATTTAGAAAAGTCAAAATTTAATGATTCATAATAACAACCTACTCAAATTTCATAAAATAGATAAAATATCACGATGAAATATTCTAAATCCAACCCTTCCAAGTAGCGAGCAAATAAATCCCATTTCCAGGATCGTTGCATTGCGATCACTTTATACAATCAGAATGCTTTCCACCTGAAGAAATAGCAAATTATTGTTACGAATGTTGTAAATTCAACGTTCCACATATGAATCTAATTTCATACTTGTTAGCAAATAAATCAGTCTTGTACTCTTTATAAAGCTTACTTGCCCATGTCAAAAACTATTACTTCTTTTATTTTGTATTCATTTAGAGAATTTACTCTTTAATGTGCTCGATTTATAAGGAATAGCTGGAACTAGTCATGAATTAATTTTATGTACTATAAAGATCGTAAAAAGAACTTGTGCTATCTTCAAAAATGTTAAAGATGTTAACAACCATAAGTCAATTAAGAAGTTTTTGAGTGCATTTACATAATTTACATTTCATTGACAATCTTTCATTGTTATTAAATGAGCGATTGGATTAAAAATATGGTTAAAAAAAATGATAGAAGAATTAAAAATCTTGAAAGAAATTAATATAGAAAATAATAAATCAATTTGAAAGTTGAGCAGAAAATACGATTAATTAAGTTTTGTATATAATTGATATTAATGTAGTGAAATATAGGATACAGAATACGGAAAAAAATCACACAGTAGTATCCCCATTATTCTTTTTAGCGTCATCTTTTTCATTGTTATTAGGATTTCCCTCGGTATAATTTGTATCTTTAATTCTCAGTGAAACAAAGAATGCACCGGGTATAGATGCGATCAATAATGCCCAACAAATCAAAAATTCTACAAGAAAACTTGTCTTGACTGCGTCAATTCTCCATGATATTGCTCCACCTGCTGATTGTATTGCTTTATAATATCTACATATATAATGATTTGATTATTAAAAAAAAATTTACACTATCTATTATATATATTTCAATGTTTATTATATTTTTTGTTCATATTAATTACCCTATATATCTTGCAAGTACCGATGAATCATTTGTGAGAGCTCCAATCATCCAATATGTATAGCACTAAAAAAACCATATTAAATTTAAAATTAAAAAAAATTAACTACGTACCACTATACACACTCTTACAAATAAAATATAATTCACCTGGAACATAGCATCACATAAACCATATGCAATGTAAAGTATTACTCTTTGAGCATAACCATCATCAAATAAATCTCCAGAAAGTCCTATAGTCTCGTCAACACCACTATTATCTCTAGGTAATCTACCTTGTCGATCATATCCCAATTGATTAAACAGTCCACCTAACCAAGTAACAAAAATTATTATTGATAATATAGCTAGACCAAAAATGGCACGCCCTTTTCTTGTCAATTTATCAAAATCTAAAAATCCCCCAATAATAATTGCACCGATAATTTGTGCAAGCCAATAAAATAGATTGTTTAAGGCTCTTGTCCGTATATTGAAATAGAATGCATTAACATCGTTAAACTACAAAATGTGCAAAAAAATTTTTTGATTACCAGATTGTACTTTAAATATAATCATTATAAACACCATCATCACTGACATTGTTGTTATAATTATGTAGTTACCTGATAAGCATAAAACCAATTACTAGCAATAAACATTGGAGTTAATAACAACATATCAGGATTCAAAAATAGTTTCAAAACATTCAAGAGTTCAGTATTCCATTTTGGATATTTCTGTATAACAACGAACGAACCATCGTTATGGTAAACTTTTGATGGGGGTAATAAACACAATGCCAAAATAGCTCCAGATGTCATCAATACTATAAAACCTATATATGTGCCATCGTTGACAGATTTTGATTCGGCTAACCAATTTAATGACAATGGAATTATAGAACCTACTACGCCCCCTAAATTAAATATCATCCAAAATATACTAATGGATTTCCCTTTATTGGATTCTTTTGGATATGATAACATTATCGCGCCTTGACCCGTCCAAAGAAGTGCTGCGCCTATGTGCCACGTAAATATTTACGAATTAATTTTATTTCATTCTTCCCAAAATCATTAATTGATTATTTTAATTAATTACCGAAACCAAGTATAGCACCAGCAGCTACAACAAAAGATTCAGATTCTTTATGGTTATAGTATAGTAAAGAAGCTGAATATAATCCATAGGTTATCGCCCCTAATGCCATCGAATAAGTTGGTCCTAATTTATTAACAACAGCCCCGGAGAAAAATCCACCAACTGAAAAACATGTATATAATGCAACATTTCCATTTGACGCTGCAGTAGGATCTAATTGCCCTCCACCTCCCATTCCTAGTTGATTTTATGTTGATGTGATGTTATTAGATAATTTTTTAATGGGTTTTTTTTTTAAATTATAATTACCAGCTAAAGCATTAAACATTCCAGGTGCTAAAAAGCAAATAAATCCTAAAATTTAAATTTAAACTTTAAATATTAGTATATTAATAAAATCTATATTTTTTAATCAAATAAATTTATTCTTATTGTTATTATTTACCAACAAGCACAACTTGTGTCAAAGGATTCGAATATCTGAAACTTGAAAACAAATTTTTTATTCCCATTATTATTATTATTATTATTATTATCACGATGTTTTGCTTTTAACTTTTTGTTTTTCTTAAAAAAAAGATTGAAGCTTGATAATAGGCCATTTTATATAACTTATTTGTATTCAATGAATTTGGTTAGACCTTTAATGGTTCGATTTATTTTTAGTTTAGTTTTAGTTTTAATAAATGATTACACAACGGAGGAAAACTGACCAATAAAGCACCTTTTGCGTATCGTACTTTTGTCATATGTACTATTATGTATAAGAAACTCATATATAAAGATTAGTGCTTCCGCAGCAAGTTCACTGATTCATAGATGGATCAAAAATATTATTAACAATTACGAAGGCTTTATTCGCTCACTATCACCAGATTTTGATCGACTAGTGCTAAATGAAAATTATGGAAAAATAAAATGAATGAATGAATGAATGAATGAAAAATCATGAAAATTACCAATGAAAAATTCTACAAATAACAACAATAATAGAATTTAGCTGTGGGTAACGAAACTTTATTTGTAAACAATACTACAAATAATTTATCTTCCTTTTGCGAATTTGATTTCCTGAAATTGCAACGAAGATTTCCATTTTTAGATAACCATATTTCCTTATCTTAACGCTTTTTTTTTTTTGGAAATATTTTGCGTTTTTCTTTTTTTAAATTTAAAAAAAAAAATCACCTTATATATTCAAAACGAAAAAAAAGTGATTTATCTATATTATATATGGGCCATACTATAACAAAATCAACGTGAACATAACACTATAAAAGCAAATTATAATGTGATCATGATTTATAACGTGTACTTTCTTATATAGATGATGATATATGACTATCCTCATATAAAATAATTAATTTAATAAAAGAAAAATTGGAAAAAATTGTTCCTTATGTTTTTAAATCAACTGATACTCATATGTTTGAAGGAAAGAGAAATCATCTACGAAGCTTACCGAGTCCGAGTATTTTGCTCATTGTTTCTTTTTATATCTTATTTTCCTGATATTCTCTCTTGGCTTGTTGAATCGGAATAAATAAAACATTACTCATCTTTTTCGTCATTATTTAATCTTTTCTTTGAATGTGAATACCTTTGTTTCACTAATGTATCATGTCTGTTATAATATCCATGATACAATTGTTCTTAAATTTCTAAAGAATAAATAAAACTGATAAATTGCATTTTCCAAGTAATGATAATACAAAGGCCATGCAGAAATGAAAATTAAGGAAGCAACTTTGAAAAAATAAACTCTTAATCTTCTTTTACATGTAGGGCGATGGTTCCCATCCAGGGTACCGTGGAAAATTTTTAGTGGTCAAGTCTCTCTACTTGATTCCCTTTTCTTGTGTGTGTGCATGCTCCCCTCAATTACATTACAATTACAAGTTTAAGGCTCCCTAATTCAAATCCCACTAAGTTCACCCTCTCTAAATGCATCTTCACAAGGGGTGCATTTAGAGGGGTTGACTGTATTGTATATACCATATGAAATAATTTGAGTTTTGCATAATTTTAAAAGAGTTGCCTTTGGAAATAAATGGTTTCGAAAGTCAAAAAATATTTACTTATATAGTACAATAATTGAATTTGACTTTTCTATATACAACTGTGAAACGGTTCCACGCTTCACTTCTTGTTCTTCCTGTTGAAGAAGTTATTGAAGAGGCATCATCATTTTCAACAATGCATTTATTGTCATTCGTCATCGTTATGTTTATTATTTAAATTTAAAACAATGAATTGTAGATTATACTACTTTTTATTTTATTGTTATTAATATTAATATAAATAATATAATAGATAAACCCTCGTTTCAACGAACATTGTTCAACATGTTATAAATTAAAACATAAAATCGTTGAAACGCGATTAGTAATTTTCGTATAACGAATTTTAGATAAGGTTTTTTATGTGTCTCATAGATTCGTTGAAACGAGCGAGTCTGACTGTATTAATATTAACAAACAGGAATTTTAATATAATCAAATTCTTTATCAATTTAAAATGTAAATCCAAAAAAATATTGATGTGTATAGTTCTATTCGTAATACAAATTCTTATTCGAATTATTCGTTTTTATTCACATTCGAATTGATCGAATGACACTGAAAAAAAATTTAGGAACCCGGTTTGATTCAATTCGATTCAAAATTCGACTCGGTTCGATTCGCTCGGAGCCTTAGTGGTCAGTTGTCATTTTGAGTCGGTGATTGAGTTGTGGTTGCTCGAGCGAAGGTTGTGGTTGTTGTGATGTCGTTGTTAATTCTACACTTAATATTATGTGTCAACATAATATCCGTCTCCAACGTCAACCCTGATCATAGGTGTCGGGTCCAATAAAATTTTTCTTTCATAACTATGGAGTTTCCACAGGTGAAGGCAATTCGAACAAGTTGGAGGCTTCAGACAAATGAGAAGTTTTAAACTCTTCTTGACAATAATGTGATTAATAAACTCCAGGGCAGTACTACCATCTGAAATTTATTTGTATCATCATATCATTAGGGGATCAAGGGAGATGTGAATGATTGTAATGCTTTAAATATTTAAGACCTGGATATTTGTAATAAAATGCTGCGTATTGAATTATTTCTGGTGTCTCCAGATTCTCTGAAGGAAGTTTCCCATGTGTATATGTTTGTGTGTGCGAGAGTAAAGAGATCTTTGATGGTTATGTGCTTGCAACCATTTAATATTAATAATTATCACGTAAAACAAATATACCAACAAGGAATCTTCTATTACTATATAATGCTCCATGCTTATATAAGATATTTGGCTATTGTAAAAAAAAATAGGATATTAGTGCAAAAAAAGGAAATCTTGTACCAAGTAATGCTTCCATGTTTAATATTAACAAATACCTCTTCATTCTCCAAAAAAAAAGGGATTCTCTTTGTACAACACTATTACTGCGCTCATGTTTTGAAAAGCAAAAAATAAATATATGGTGCACGTCACCTATAAACTTTTAAAGTTAAAAATTTATTAACAAATTCAAAATTTCGGACTAAAATTCTTTCCATAAAAAGTAAGTGATCGCTGATAATTTTCATTGGTTTATGTCGCACCAATAAAAATATCCTTTTTTTTTTTAATATTATTCATTTTATAAAATGCCAAGACCATCTAAAAGAAAATTACACACAAGAAACCTAGTAAATAGTAAAGAAAGAAATTCTAATGGAACTTTTGGTATTAAAAAAACAAAAGAATTGAATTATTCTTCAGTAGAAGCTCTCAAACATGGTGACAATGATATTATCTGGGAAGAAAAAGACATAGAACAAATAGAATCAGATGATTCTTTGACAAAAATTCTTGATGATGAGGTTGAATGGGATGATGATGATGATAATGATGATGGTGACTTGGAAGAAGATAATATAGAACAAGAAAAAAATATTTACAAATATTTAATTAATAAACCATTAGAGTTAAAATGAACTGATGGTGCTTCATTAGAAAAGCAAAAGAGAGGCAAGTATATGAAAGGCAAGACTCCAAATTCTACTTATTATGACAAATATGGTCCAAGTGGTACTTTTACTAAAGCAGCTGAAGGAAGTCAAAAGATTACTGATTTTTTTCAATCTAAAGAATCTGAAAATTTACCTGGTGATTGGGAAAAGATTATGGATGATGAAGGTGATGAAAATAATGAAGATAATGAATGGGGGAAAAAAAATATATTTGAAAAAATAGAATTTTTGAAAAATGAATTAACAGATGGTAAAAATAATATGGCTTTTTCTGAATACAATAAAAAACATGCCATTTTTGAATATTTAAAAAGATTAAATAATGGAAAAAGGAAAATAAATTCTAGCTTAGAAGCAGCACAAATAGTTTTTATTGACCCTGCACCATGTAAGTCAAGAACAGTAAGATATTGGGCATCATATTGGTTATCAAATAAATCAACTCCTATTAGTAAACAAGGTAAGCATATAAAAATTATCAGATTAATTGATGATGAGGATATTGCTGAAAAATCTCATTTATGGATAAGAAGTCAAGAAGGAACAACAACACCAACAAAGTTTAAAGAATTCATTGAGCAAAATTTGCTATTAGATTCTGGAACTACTAAAAAGAGCATGAGTATTACTACAGCCTCAAGATGGTTGAATGTATTAGGTTATACATCAGGAAATTTTTCTGATGTGGATTTACGTAATTATTACACTATTTACGTAAGTTTACGGTGGGCCCGTAATATTATGCAAATAAGCATACAAAAATTATGCAATTATTACATCGAGTGTAAATATTACATAATTTTTATGCAAATATTACAACTAGAGATTGGCACCATTAACCGTTTAACCATTTTAACCGGTTAACCGCAATTAAACAGTTAACCAGTTAAAGTCTTGTTTTAACCGGTTAATTAATTCGGTTAACCAGTTAACCAAGTTAATATTTGTGTAATAATAAGGGGTAAAAAAAAAATATTAATTCAAAATTTTTTTAATGAGCGTAGCTTTAATGAATGAATAGCTTTAATGAATAGCTTTAATGAATAGCTTTGATGAATGAATAGCTTTAATGAATAGCTTTAATGAATAACTTTAATGAGAAACTTTTTGTTGAATAGTTTACAAAATTTTCACATCAAAAAATAATAACAAAATAATTAATAGTAATAATCATTCATTTATTCATTCATACATTCAAAAAAACAATAATAATAATTAATCATTAATCATTTGTATAATGAATATGGAAAATGAATTTTATCAAGACCTTGCTGAAACTTATATTAATGAAGAATCAAATACAAATTGTGAAAGTGATAATGGGAATGTAATTAATGTCATAAATGATAATGGAAATGTAATTAATGTCATAAGTGATAATACAAATAATAAAAAAATCATCAAAAGGAAACGTCCAAAAAAATCAAAAGTTTGGGATTACTTTGAAGACAAAATAAACAACATTTATTGCAAAGTCATTATCAATCCTCAAACAGAAACTAAATGTGGCGCAAAATATGCTAATTCAGACACCACATCAACTTCAACATTAAGTTATCATTTAAAACATTGCCATCAAATTTTTGTTAATCCTGAAGAAGTATGTTTATATATATGTTTATATTATTTGCTCAACATATACATTTATTTATTATAATTCAAATTTTTTTAGAAATCTGATTTAAAACAACCCAAGTTAACTGATGTGTTTGAAAAAATTCAAGAACATCCACAACAAAAAATGAAAGACCTCCATCTTGCCACCACTGAATGGATTGTATTGGACTCTTTACCTTTCAATGTGCTTCAAGGAGAAGGTTTTAAAAAATTTATCAAGAAATTGGATCCTAAATTTCGTGTACCAAATAATAAAACAATTAAAAATATTATTGCAGACAAATATTCCATTCAAAAAACCAAAATCAAAAATTTAATTAAAGATACTTGTGTTACTGCAACCATTACAACTGATCTTTGGACCTCTAGATCAAAGGAAGGTTATATTGGAGTAACATGTCATTGGCTTTCACCAAAATTTGAACCAATTGATATATTACTTGCTATAGAAAGGATGCCATATCCACATACGAATGAAATAATTCTTAATTATTTAAAAAATTTGGTAGAAGAATTTGGATTGTCAAATAAAATAGTCTGTGGAGTAACAGATAATGGCAGTAATATGAGAAAAGCATTTGATACATGGGAAGGAGTTGAAAGGCTCCCATGTACTGCACACACTCTCCAACTTTCTGTAAATAAAGCTCTTATAATAATAAAACCTTATGTTAAAAGATTCAAAAAGCTGGTAAAATTTTTTTCTACCTCCCCAAAACAAAGTGAAAGATTGGATAAGGCACAAATTGAAGTTGCTAGTCGTGAGTATCAAGGATTAGAACATTCTAAATTAATTCATTTTTATGATGGAGATGAAGATGGAAATGAAGATGAAGATGAAAATGGTGATGATGGTGATGATTTAGAAAATAATACAAATTCTTTAAATAATTTTCAAGTGTTAAGAATATAACAAGTATCAAAACAAGATGGAATTCATCATATATTTCATGGTCTCGGCTTCTAATACTTCGTAAGTCAATACAATGGCTTGCTGACACCTTACCTTATGAAGCAAATAATGATTCAAAAAAGGATGCACATCATTTAAAACAATGTTTGTTGCAAGATTATGAATGGGACCTTCTGGAAAAAGTTTTGTTATTGCTAAAACCATTTGAAGAAGCAACAACATTTTTTTCTGGTGCACAATATCCAACATTGTCTCTTATGTATCCTACAATCCAAAAATTAAAAATTAAATATGCTTGTGGTGTAACAGGTAGAAATAGAAAAGATGATAATGACAATGATGGTATGCATGATTTTTTTTAAATTTTTTTAATTATAACTATTACTATTATTAACATCATCATTTGTGCTTCTTTTTTTAGAATTAATTTCATCTGATGATGAAACTGATATTGATGGTAATTGTGATTATGATCATGGAGAAGGTCAAAAAAAATCCAATCCACCACCAAGACCCAATCTAAATAATATAGCCATGATATTTCAACAAAAAATATATGAGTCTTTGTTTGACTATTGGAACCAAACATCTGATATTGGGTTGTTAGCTACTTTATTAGACCCACGTTTGAAAAAAATGGTATTATTTGATTATGAAACTAGAACAAGGACTATTGAAAAATTGAATGAACTTTATTTAGAATTAAAATATGTTGAAGAACAAGATAGACAATCATAATGTATTTCATCATCATCACAAGCAACAAAAGTCTCACCATTTTTTGAATCAATATTTGGAAATTTAAATGATGAGGAGTCAGAATTATCAGAGGTAGACCGTTATTTAGATCTTTGCTTAACTCCTATAGCACAACCCAATGAAAATCCATGGATTTGGTGGAGTATGAGAAGAACTGAATTTTCAACACTTTCAAAATTAGCTAATAAATACCTTTCAATACCTGCCACATCTGTGCCATCTGAAAGGCTCTTTAGTGATGCTGGCAATCAAATTACTGTAAAAAGAACAAGATTAAGTTCTGAAATTGTTAGTAAAATTTTATTTTTAAAGAGAAATGATTTTTATTGTAAATGATCAAATTATATGAATAAAAATTATTTTTAAAATTTCTAACTAAATATGGCAATGATGTTCGTTCCATAACTGGTTAACCGGTTAAAAAAATAACGGTTTAACAGTTTATTTAACTGGTTAAAATTAATGGTTAACTGGTTAACTGAAGGTTTTCACAGTTAATTAACCGGTTAAAGAATTTTTAGGCGGTGCCAATCTCTAATTACAACTTTACATATTAAAATTTACAGACGTAATATTGTGACGGGGAAAATTTCCTGATGTACTTTTAAGCAAAATTGTCAGGATATATATTATGATGGTCATGAAAGGCCAGATGTTGTCAAATATAGAAAAAAATTTTTAGAAGAAATATTTAATTATGAAAAGTATATGACAACATTTGATGATGAAACCTTAGAACCAATTCTTCCAATTCTTAGTCCTGATAAGAAGGAAATAATATTAGTTACTCATGATGAGTGCATCTTTTACTCTAATGATGGAAAGAGAGGAGTTTGGGCAAGGGATGGTGAATTGCCATTGAAAAAAAAGGGCAATGGAAGATGTATTATGGTAAGTGAGTTTTTAACCGAGATTCATGGAGATTATGTTTAAACCAGGATCAAATTATAGATAACCCAGATGTTCCTGAGAAGCAAAAACAATTTTGAAACCAGGAAAAAATCAAGAAGGTTATTGGAAAAGTGATGATTTAGTAGGACAAGTTGAATTAAAAGCCATTCCAATTTTTGAAATTCTCTTTCCTAATTGCATTGCTCTATTTGCATTTGACAATTCCACTAATCATGCTTCTTACAAGGAAGATGCTCTTGTTGTTAATAGATGAATTTAAATCCAGGTGGAAAACAACCTAAAATAAGAAATACAACCTTTGGACCTAACAACACATTACAACATATGGTATTTGAAGATGGAACACCAAAAGGAATGAGACAAGTATTATTTGAAAGGGGACTGTGGAGAGATGATTTATTAGCAGACTGCAAATTATGTAAAGGTAAAGGTAAAGTTTTAGATGAAAATAGGGTAGATTGTTGTGCAAGAAGGATTCTTTCAATGCGGCCTGATTTTAAAAATCAGAAGTGTGCATTGGAAGAAGCTATTTTAGAAGCAGGACACTTATGCATCTTTTACCCCAAATTTCATTGTGAGTTAAACTTTATTGAAAGGTATTGGGGTAAAGCAAAAAAATACACTCGAGAGAAGTGTGATTATATATGGGAGGGTTTAATAAATACTGTTCCAGAAGCTCTAAATTCAATAGATGTAATAACAATTAGAAGATTTGCAAGGAAATCATGGAGATACATGGATCTATATAGGAATGGAATTATTGGAAAGTTGGCAGAGTATGCTGTCAAAAAATATAGATCACATATATAGAAGAATTCCAGAGTATATTATTCAGGAATTAAATAATATAAAATTGACTTAATTTTTTATTTGATTTGATTATTATTCTTTTCTTTTTAATTATTTTTTTTACTATAATATTTTAACTAATTTTAAATTATTAAAAAATGAACCATTAGAGTATCTGTCAAATGATTTGACATACAAAATTTTTTTTTTGCACTTTGCATAATAATAAAAAATAATTACTTATATTGGAAAGATCTACATTTTTAAATTTCGGACTATTGACGTTTATAGATGACGTGCACCATATTATTATCATCACCTGTTTCCGCATCCGTTTCTATTTCCGAATCATCCTTTTCCAAATTATTATATTATCCCTTTCACAAGTAATAGGGATGAGCTCAACTTCTTTATTAATAAACATATCGAATTCCGATAAGAAGTTTTCCCAAGTTATTTTTGATAAGAGCTCCAGATTGGATGACCTGATGTTGGCTTTAATAAATTTTTCTTTGCCTATTTTTTTCAATCATTACTTGTGATCTATGTATCACATAATTGGTTATTTTTTGTATTTTTTTTGTTTGTATTTTGTTAACGATTATTCCCGACATATTTAATTTATTAAAGCCAAATTCATCGATGGCTTTTGCAAATTGCTTAATAGTGAAAATGGTATCTCTTTGGAGATGATTGGTGTAAAGTATTTGATATTTTAATGTGTTGGCTGATTCTATTGTTTCTTCAAACTTTGAATAAAATTCTATTAATTCATATAGTTTGACTGCGTGATTTTCTGTATTTTTGAGGCTCCTATAATGTTAGATAAGATTAAATAAATGATGTCAAACAAAATTAGTGTAAAAGAGATCAAAACACAAATATATATCATACATTTGAAGTACAGATTCATGAATTCTTTTGTGATAGTCTTTAGATCAAGTTTGAAACTCCGGTTGATGCTCAATTCATATACTTCGTCAATTGTAAAAAACAATTTTACTGATGATGTTGTTGATGTTGGTGTGGTGTTGGTGATGATAGATATGCATGTTTAAGTTTATTTATTAAGTTGGTTAATTTATTTGTTTCTGTACTATTACCTTTTGTTACTTTAAACTTCCATGCTCAAAACACCTCTTCAAAGATTATTTTTCTTCAAAAGAAAATATTGTCTTTTCACCTAAAAGAAAGTATATACAATAATAATACAAGTGTATATAATGTATATAATTATAAGTTGCTACCCGAAAAAGGTCTTTTTTATATATTAAACCAAGGTGTATATAGCAGTTGTGTTGAAAAAATTTTTGTAAACAAGTTATTAATTGTGTGACAGAAGAAAATTATAACAGAACATATTTACAAAAAAACGTTAATTTAATTTACAAAAAAATGTTAAGAATTTGCTTAAAAAAAAATAATTTACCAAAAAAATTAATTTACGAAAAAATTTTAAAGATGATGTAAAAATGAATAAATTTTTATATTTTTTTTCTTTATAAATACAACTTTTGTACCAAAAAATTTCCTTGAGGGAGTGATCAACAACGCAACCATTTTCGCAAAACATCAAAAACCCTTAATTATATTTTTTTAGGATAGTAATATATCATCAGGAAATTTTTTCTGACGCGAACATTAGAGCAAATGCGTTTAACAACGGTACATGGAATAAATAGTATACATTCAACAAAGAAGAAATCTATAACTACTCTATAGAATTATCACAGAATTATTTGATTATCAAACATTCACGCCATGGAAGAACGAAGGACGAAGACACTCTTTTAAAAAATTATCTTTTAGGAGTTAACATAATACTCGTGTAAGAGACTGTAGATTCAGTGATCGCTTTAGTGATGCGTAAATTTTATTCCTTCAATAACGTATTTAAAGAAAGAAACAAGTTTTTACGCGCATCCGCATTGGGGCTCATTATTATATTTATATTTATATATATATGGTGGTGATAATATATTATATCGCATTTTTCAAAATCATTAAATATTTTAAAAAAATGGAAAACAGTAAATATTTAATCAAGATTCAAAATGATTAGCTTTCTAAAGGATGTTTTTAGTTTGATGGATGATAATAATTTAGAAATCTTGGAATTTAATAGTTGAAGAATTGCAATAGATGAATAGGATGAATTATTTAAAACAATATATAAATGTTAATATAAAAATACTATATAATAAATAATAAATATATAAACTAAATGACACATATCATTCATTACCAGGCGGTCCCTCTCACATCATTGATTTGGGAAGATGAAGAAATGTCATAGTTGTCAAAAAACAAACGAACCGAGGGGAGATCATATACGATAATAAAAGGCGGTGCCTCTCGCATTATTGATTGGAAAGATGATAATGTAAAACGGAGTTGCTAAACACTTTATCCAGGGGGAAATCATATCAGATAATAAAAGGCGATGTCTCTCACATTATTGATTGGAACAGGGTTGGCAAATTGACTGGTCCATTGAGAACTGATGGACTTCGGACTGATCCATTGCCATTAATAAAATACTAAATATGGTTAAAGTGTTACACTAATGGACCCAATGGACCACATATTTGCCAACCCTGGATTGGAAAGATAACGATAATGTAAAACGTGGTTGCTGAAAAACATACAAATTTACATGAAGTCGAAATATAGAATTTTTGGAGGAAAATAAAATAACTGTACTGTCTCACCCACCCTACAGTCCAGATCTAACATATTTCCTAAAATAAAAAAAGAATTGGATTTAATTTACCTTTGGACATATAAATATTTTAATTGTAACAGTAATAATTAGTCATGTTATAAATATAATTATTTTTTTTTAAATAGAAATGTATTTTATTAATAAATATAATTAAAGATGTTAAAAAACTTTGAGAGAGATTTAGAACAAATGTTTAATGAAGTTAATTTAAAAAAAAATTAAACGCTGTTTAATTGCACAAGAAGAAAATATAAACATGTTTTGAAAAGCAAAAAATAAATATATGGTGCACGTCACCTATAAACTTTTAAAGTTAAAAATTTATTAACAAATTCAAAATTTCGGACTAAAATTCTTTCCATAAAAAGTAAGTGATCGCTGATAATTTTCATTGGTTTATGTCGCACCAATAAAAATATCCTTTTTTTTTTTAATATTATTCATTTTATAAAATGCCAAGACCATCTAAAAGAAAATTACACACAAGAAACCTAGTAAATAGTAAAGAAAGAAATTCTAATGGAACTTTTGGTATTAAAAAAACAAAAGAATTGAATTATTCTTCAGTAGAAGCTCTCAAACATGGTGACAATGATATTATCTGGGAAGAAAAAGACATAGAACAAATAGAATCAGATGATTCTTTGACAAAAATTCTTGATGATGAGGTTGAATGGGATGATGATGATGATAATGATGATGGTGACTTGGAAGAAGATAATATAGAACAAGAAAAAAATATTTACAAATATTTAATTAATAAACCATTAGAGTTAAAATGAACTGATGGTGCTTCATTAGAAAAGCAAAAGAGAGGCAAGTATATGAAAGGCAAGACTCCAAATTCTACTTATTATGACAAATATGGTCCAAGTGGTACTTTTACTAAAGCAGCTGAAGGAAGTCAAAAGATTACTGATTTTTTTCAATCTAAAGAATCTGAAAATTTACCTGGTGATTGGGAAAAGATTATGGATGATGAAGGTGATGAAAATAATGAAGATAATGAATGGGGGAAAAAAAATATATTTGAAAAAATAGAATTTTTGAAAAATGAATTAACAGATGGTAAAAATAATATGGCTTTTTCTGAATACAATAAAAAACATGCCATTTTTGAATATTTAAAAAGATTAAATAATGGAAAAAGGAAAATAAATTCTAGCTTAGAAGCAGCACAAATAGTTTTTATTGACCCTGCACCATGTAAGTCAAGAACAGTAAGATATTGGGCATCATATTGGTTATCAAATAAATCAACTCCTATTAGTAAACAAGGTAAGCATATAAAAATTATCAGATTAATTGATGATGAGGATATTGCTGAAAAATCTCATTTATGGATAAGAAGTCAAGAAGGAACAACAACACCAACAAAGTTTAAAGAATTCATTGAGCAAAATTTGCTATTAGATTCTGGAACTACTAAAAAGAGCATGAGTATTACTACAGCCTCAAGATGGTTGAATGTATTAGGTTATACATCAGGAAATTTTTCTGATGTGGATTTACGTAATTATTACACTATTTACGTAAGTTTACGGTGGGCCCGTAATATTATGCAAATAAGCATACAAAAATTATGCAATTATTACATCGAGTGTAAATATTACATAATTTTTATGCAAATATTACAACTAGAGATTGGCACCATTAACCGTTTAACCATTTTAACCGGTTAACCGCAATTAAACAGTTAACCAGTTAAAGTCTTGTTTTAACCGGTTAATTAATTCGGTTAACCAGTTAACCAAGTTAATATTTGTGTAATAATAAGGGGTAAAAAAAAAATATTAATTCAAAATTTTTTTAATGAGCGTAGCTTTAATGAATGAATAGCTTTAATGAATAGCTTTAATGAATAGCTTTGATGAATGAATCGCTTTAATGAATAGCTTTAATGAATAGCTTTGATGAATGAATAGCTTTAATGAATAGCTTTAATGAATAACTTTAATGAGAAACTTTTTGTTGAATAGTTTACAAAATTTTCACATCAAAAAATAATAACAAAATAATTAATAGTAGTAATCATTCATTTATTCATTCATACATTCAAAAAAACAATAATAATAATTAATTATTAATCATTTGTATAATGAATATGGAAAATGAATTTTATCAAGACCTTGCTGAAACTTATATTAATGAAGAATCAAATACAAATTGTGAAAGTGATAATGGGAATGTAATTAATGTCATAAATGATAATGGAAATGTAATTAATGTCATAAGTGATAATACAAATAATAAAAAAATCATCAAAAGGAAACATCCAAAAAAATCAAAAGTTTGGGATTACTTTGAAGACAAAATAAACAACATTTATTGCAAAGTCATTATCAATCCTCAAACAGAAACTAAATGTGGTGCAAAATATGCTAATTCAGACACCACTTCAACTTCAACATTAAGTTATCATTTAAAACATTGCCATCAAATTTTTGTTAATCCTGAAGAAGTATGTTTATATATATGTTTATATTATTTGCTCAACATATACATTTATTTATTATAATTCAAATTTTTTTAGAAATCTGATTTAAAACAACCCAAGTTAACTGATGTGTTTGAAAAAATTCAAGAACATCCACAACAAAAAATGAAAGATCCCCATCTTGCCACCACTGAATGGATTGTATTGGACTCTTTACCTTTCAATGTGCTTCAAGGAGAAGGTTTTAAAAAATTTATCAAGAAATTGGATCCTAAATTTCGTGTACCAAATAATAAAACAATTAAAAATATTATTGCAGACAAATATTCCATTCAAAAAACCAAAATCAAAAATTTAATTAAAGATACTTGTGTTACTGCAACCATTACAACTGATCTTTGGACCTCTAGATCAAAGGAAGGTTATATTGGAGTAACATGTCATTGGCTTTCACCAAAATTTGAACCAATTGATATATTACTTGCTATAGAAAGGATGCCATATCCACATACGAATGAAATAATTCTTAATTATTTAAAAAATTTGGTAGAAGAATTTGGATTGTCAAATAAAATAATCTGTGGAGTAACAGATAATGGCAGTAATATGAGAAAAGCATTTGATACATGGGAAGGAGTTGAATGGCTCCCATGTACTGCACACACTCTCCAACTTTCTGTAAATAAAGCTCTTATAATAATAAAACCTTATGTTAAAAGATTCAAAAAGCTGGTAAAATTTTTTTCTACCTCCCCAAAACAAAGTGAAAGATTGGATAAGGCACAAATTGAAGTTGCTAGTTGTGAGTATCAAGGATTAGAACATTCTAAATTAATTCATTTTTATGATGAAGATGAAGATGGAAATGAAGATGAAGATGAAAATGGTGATGATGGTGATGATTTAGAAAATAATACAAATTCTTTAAATAATTTTCAAGTGTTAAGAATATAACAAGTATCAAAACAAGATGGAATTAATCATATATTTCATGGTCTCAGCTTCTAATACTTTGTAAGTCAATACAATGGCTTGCTGACACCTTACCTTACGAAGCAAATAATGATTCAAAAAAGGATGCACGTTGTTTAAAACAATGTTTGTTGCAAGATTATGAATGGGACCTTCTGGAAAAAGTTTTGTTATTGCTAAAACCATTTGAAGAAGCAACAACATTTTTTTCTGGTGCACAATATCCAACATTGTCTCTTATGTATCCTACAATCCAAAAATTAAAAATTAAATATGCTTGTGGTGTAACAGGTAGAAATAGAAAAGATGATAATGACAATGATGGTATGCATGATTTTTTTTAAATTTTTTTAATTATAACTATTACTATTATTAACATCATCATTTGTGCTTCTTTTTTTAGAATTAATTTCATCTGATGATGAAACTGATATTGATGGTAATTGTGATTATGATCATGGAGAAAGTCAAAAAAAATCCAATCCACCACCAAGACCCAATCTAAATAATATAGCCATGATATTTCAACAAAAAATATATGAGTCTTTGTTTGACTATTGGAACCAAACATCTGATATTGGGTTGTTAGCTACTTTATTAGACCCACGTTTGAAAAAAATGGTATTATTTGATTATGAAACTAGAACAAGGACTATTGAAAAATTGAATGAACTTTATTTAGAATTAAAATATGTTGAAGAACAAGATAGACAATCATCATGTATTTCATCATCATCACAAGCAACAAAAGTCTCACCATTTTTTGAATCAATATTTGGAAATTTAAATGATGAGGAGTCAGAATTATCAGAGGTAGACCGTTATTTAGATCTTCACTTAACTCCTATAGCACAACCCAATGAAAATCCATGGATTTGGTGGAGTATGAGAAGAACTGAATTTTCAACACTTTCAAAATTAGCTAATAAATACCTTTCAATACCTGCCACATCTGTGCCATCTGAAAGGCTCTTTAGTGATGCTGGCAATCAAATTACTGTAAAAAGAACAAGATTAAGTTCTGAAATTGTTAGTAAAATTTTATTTTTAAAGAGAAATGATTTTTATTGTAAATGATCAAATTATATGAATAAAAATTATTTTTAAAATTTCTAACTAAATATGGCAATGATGTTCGTTCCATAACTGGTTAACCGGTTAAAAAAATAACGGTTTAACAGTTTATTTAACTGGTTAAAATTAATGGTTAACTGGTTAACTGAAGGTTTTCACAGTTAATTAACCGGTTAAAGAATTTTTAGGCGGTGCCAATCTCTAATTACAACTTTACATATTAAAATTTACAGACGTAATATTGTGACGGGGAAAATTTCCTGATGTACTTTTAAGCAAAATTGTCAGGATATATATTATGATGGTCATGAAAGGCCAGATGTTGTCAAATATAGAAAAAAATTTTTAGAAGAAATATTTAATTATGAAAAGTATATGACAACATTTGATGATGAAACCTTAGAACCAATTCTTCCAATTCTTAGTCCTGATAAGAAGGAAATAATATTAGTTACTCATGATGAGTGCATCTTTTACTCTAATGATGGAAAGAGAGGAGTTTGGGCAAGGGATGGTGAATTGCCATTGAAAAAAAAGGGCAATGGAAGATGTATTATGGTAAGTGAGTTTTTAACCGAGATTCATGGAGATTATGTTTAAACCAGGATCAAATTATAGATAACCCAGATGTTCCTGAGAAGCAAAAACAATTTTGAAACCAGGAAAAAATCAAGAAGGTTATTGGAAAAGTGATGATTTAGTAGGACAAGTTGAATTAAAAGCCATTCCAATTTTTGAAATTCTCTTTCCTAATTGCATTGCTCTATTTGCATTTGACAATTCCACTAATCATGCTTCTTACAAGGAAGATGCTCTTGTTGTTAATAGATGAATTTAAATCCAGGTGGAAAACAACCTAAAATAAGAAATACAACCTTTGGACCTAACAACACATTACAACATATGGTATTTGAAGATGGAACACCAAAAGGAATGAGACAAGTATTATTTGAAAGGGGACTGTGGAGAGATGATTTATTAGCAGACTGCAAATTATGTAAAGGTAAAGGTAAAGTTTTAGATGAAAATAGGGTAGATTGTTGTGCAAGAAGGATTCTTTCAATGCGGCCTGATTTTAAAAATCAGAAGTGTGCATTGGAAGAAGCTATTTTAGAAGCAGGACACTTATGCATCTTTTACCCCAAATTTCATTGTGAGTTAAACTTTATTGAAAGGTATTGGGGTAAAGCAAAAAAATACACTCGAGAGAAGTGTGATTATATATGGGAGGGTTTAATAAATACTGTTCCAGAAGCTCTAAATTCAATAGATGTAATAACAATTAGAAGATTTGCAAGGAAATCATGGAGATACATGGATCTATATAGGAATGGAATTATTGGAAAGTTGGCAGAGTATGCTGTCAAAAAATATAGATCACATATATAGAAGAATTCCAGAGTATATTATTCAGGAATTAAATAATATAAAATTGACTTAATTTTTTATTTGATTTGATTATTATTCTTTTCTTTTTAATTATTTTTTTTACTATAATATTTTAACTAATTTTAAATTATTAAAAAATGAACCATTAGAGTATCTGTCAAATGATTTGACATACAAAATTTTTTTTTTGCACTTTGCATAATAATAAAAAATAATTACTTATATTGGAAAGATCTACATTTTTAAATTTCGGACTATTGACGTTTATAGATGACGTGCACCATATTATTATCATCACCTGTTTCCGCATCCGTTTCTATTTCCGAATCATCCTTTTCCAAATTATTATATTATCCCTTTCACAAGTAATAGGGATGAGCTCAACTTCTTTATTAATAAACATATCGAATTCCGATAAGAAGTTTTCCCAAGTTATTTTTGATAAGAGCTCCAGATTGGATGACCTGATGTTGGCTTTAATAAATTTTTCTTTGCCTATTTTTTTCAATCATTACTTGTGATCTATGTATCACATAATTGGTTATTTTTTGTATTTTTTTTGTTTGTATTTTGTTAACGATTATTCCCGACATATTTAATTTATTAAAGCCAAATTCATCGATGGCTTTTGCAAATTGCTTAATAGTGAAAATGGTATCTCTTTGGAGATGATTGGTGTAAAGTATTTGATATTTTAATGTGTTGGCTGATTCTATTGTTTCTTCAAACTTTGAATAAAATTCTATTAATTCATATAGTTTGACTGCGTGATTTTCTGTATTTTTGAGGCTCCTATAATGTTAGATAAGATTAAATAAATGATGTCAAACAAAATTAGTGTAAAAGAGATCAAAACACAAATATATATCATACATTTGAAGTACAGATTCATGAATTCTTTTGTGATAGTCTTTAGATCAAGTTTGAAACTCCGGTTGATGCTCAATTCATATACTTCGTCAATTGTAAAAAACAATTTTACTGATGATGTTGTTGATGTTGGTGTGGTGTTGGTGATGATAGATATGCATGTTTAAGTTTATTTATTAAGTTGGTTAATTTATTTGTTTCTGTACTATTACCTTTTGTTACTTTAAACTTCCATGCTCAAAACACCTCTTCAAAGATTATTTTTCTTCAAAAGAAAATATTGTCTTTTCACCTAAAAGAAAGTATATACAATAATAATACAAGTGTATATAATGTATATAATTATAAGTTGCTACCCGAAAAAGGTCTTTTTTATATATTAAACCAAGGTGTATATAGCAGTTGTGTTGAAAAAATTTTTGTAAACAAGTTATTAATTGTGTGACAGAAGAAAATTATAACAGAACATATTTACAAAAAAACGTTAATTTAATTTACAAAAAAATGTTAAGAATTTGCTTAAAAAAAAATAATTTACCAAAAAACCACTTGAACAGTTTTTCCAAGATACCCTCCTTTTCTCTAATTAAATAAATAACCAATTAATTTAAAGAATCAACCAATCCTTTTCACCATCACATCATCATCATCAATTATTAATACTTACTTCTCTGTTGATGACTTTTTGATATATCTTCCCTGTAGTAATATTATTATCTCTTGTAAGGGTAACATCCAAAAATCTTTCATAATTACCAAGATCAAGATCAACTTCACCACCATCATTCAACACAAACACTTCACCTAAATTATTATTAATTTAACACATACACATGTATAGGCAGATAGGTACATTGATTGATTGATTGATTTATTCATTTTTTTCAAGTATAAATGTTGTGGCACAAGAAATGATAAAATAACACATGCATGTTTTAATGATTATTATTACAATAAAATTAAAAAAAGTCATTTTATTTTTTAAAAACTAACCATGTTCAATAGGACTCATAGTTCCAGCATCAATATTCATATATGGGTCAATTTTAAAGAAAAAGCCGGAATGATATTAGGTGTGTTTAATTATGTATTGTATATATTGTATCTTAATAATCTGTTTCCTAATTCCCTAATCTTTTTTTAAATTTAAAGCAAAAAAGGAATTTTATATTCTTTATGGAAGAAAAAGATTATCTTTACTTCAAATTTTTGAATTATCAAACGTATCAGATAATACAAGTTTAATATTGCCAATTTATTTTCTAATTAAATCATTTATAATCTCTCGGAAACCAATTGAATTCAGTCCATTATTAGGAACAATAAAAAAATCGAATTACACTATTAATAACAATAGTGGTAGCAATAGCAGTAGTAGTATTAGTGAAGTTGATATTTTTAATGTTAAAACAATTCAGTTTAAGATTGAAGCTTCATTATTGCTAATTTCAACATTTTTAATGATAATTAGATTTGTGTTCTATTATAAAACCACAACAAAATTAGAAGAACAATCAGAAGAACAACAATTTTCTTTATCATCAAAATACACTCATAAACATGGTAGTAATGGATTTGCTTCCTTACTTATTCCCTTGCTGGATTTAGTAGATTTTATTAATTTACATTATATGCTTTATTATTGTGGTCTTTTGATCAATAGTTTATATAATTCGCTTAGATCATTAATTAGATCATTGGTTAGAGTAATTAATATGTGCTGCTGTAAATGTGACTTTAAATGCATTGAGGAAGGAGAAGAAAGGTGTGATGTCATTTGTGGATGTTATTGCTGCATCATCGCCTGTGATGCTACAATGTGTTGTGCGTGGCATGACTGTTGTTCCGACGTTTATCTATTTTCCGGAATCTGTTCAAGATGTTGTAATCGCTCAGGACATAGAAACCATTCAGGAAGTGGCGACTGTTCAGGAAGTGGTGACTATTCAGGAAGTGGTGGCTGTTCAGGATGTTGTGATTGTTCAGGATGTTGTGGCTGCGGTGACTGTGATGACTGAATAAATTAATGTAGAAAAGGTCTATTTCTCTATACATATTAATATGCATCTTAGAAAATTCGAAATATTTAATCGAAGAATTCTTTGTATATTAATATATAGGACGTAGATCTATACGATTAAACGATGTTTGTGATTATGTAATTTTTTGTGCGTGCTTTTTTTTTAATCATATAAAATTATGGTTTTTATCGTATTTCCTTATTTCATAAGAAACATTCTTCACCAATTATGTTTTTATTTTATTTGACATTTTGAAATTTTATTTATACATTTTAAGTTTCTTTAAGGAAAACAGCTCTCGTAAGTTTTCACTGGTTATACAAACAATTTTACTTGGACTTAGGATATGCAATTTTTGATAATAATAAACAGAGTGCCCGAGTGGATCATAACATAAATTGCTCGATATAATATAAACCTCTTTATATTATAAGTATATAATGAAATTTGTCCTGTTTCCATTATAATAAATTAAAGTCAAAGGACTCCGTGATGGTATGGTAAGAGTTTTCTCCTCTGATATGATTGCCTGAGGAAGCTCAATTGATCATTCTTTACTTCATATGCGCTGATTTTGTTTGGACCCCAAAATCCAGTACCCCATTGGTTTTGAGGCGGGCCCATTGGTTTGATCAAATATATAGTAAAATAGTTTTTTTAGCGGAGCAAATAAATTTTTTGGGGGTTAATTATCATTATATTGACCAGTTTACACATTATGTTTAACGTGTTTAACGTCGAGATATATATTAATATATAATGTTTGAAAAAAAAGGATCCAAAAAACCAAATTGGCTGATATGTTTATTATGAAATTCGTGTTACCCAAAAATCGATTGTCGCGTTGGGATATTAATATGAATTTCATGGGGAATTGTGACCTTTATCAGTTAAAAATATTGTAGAAATGTCTATCTCAAAGTCAACAACACATTGTAATATGGGGAGGAAAAGTGTATAGTTGAATGGTGGAGAGGCTTCGGGTAGAAAATAATTCACACAAATAATTTCTGATAATATTAAAGTTATGAATAGCATAAAAATGAAGTCACCAAAAAGTTTAATTTTTTCAATTACAAAATAATAATTATGAAAATTCCCAAGAACCACAATCTTCACAATACTCGTCATGATCACATTCTACAACATCATTATCATCATCACCAATCCATTTTTCAATAACATTTTTAATGAATAAAAGTAATGAATGATTCTTGATTTCTGATCTCCATCCAAATTTAGAAATTGTATCATATGAACAAGTATTTCCTGTATGACATTTTGTCTCCATCTAAATACATTTATTTCATTTCAAAATCTATTAATATTAATATTATTAATATTATATAAAATAAATAAAAAAACAAATATATTTACAGCATATCCAAAATGATAACATGTAGAAGCTAATCCATTACATTCGCCCATAAATACAGGGTCCCCTGTGTGACCAAAATGGTATATCGGTAATTTATATGAATCAGTTGTATCTAAACCTAAACGCTTAGCATATAATAAATCACCAGGAGCTTGAAATGTTACAGCAGGAACTTTATATTTAAGCGCAACTAGTGAAGCAAGTGATCCACCTATTATCAAAAAGTATATAATGATTTTTTTTTAAATATTAAAAAGCATATTATATATTTTTCATATTAAAAATTAATTATTACCAAGTGAATGACCAGTCAACCATATTGTTGAATTAGGATAATTTTTTTGGGTTTCTTCATAAATTCTCTTTTCAAATTCAAATTCACATTAATCAACAACAACAACAACAGTGACAATAATATAAATATAATATTTACCAAAGCATTACTATAATAAGTATTCTTTTGATAAACTTCGCTACTTATACATGTTGAATTACATTGTTGTCCTTCGATATGGCAGCCACAAACACCATTCCAAAGAAAATCAACTTTTGCACAACAACATGAAAACATCAAATTATCCTAAATTAATCAATTAAATCAATAACGATAACGATAACGATAACGATAACGGTAATGATAATGATAATGATAATGATAATGATGATAATAATAAAATATTTACAATATATTTATCATTTCCTGCTGTTGGCGCATCTCCGTTAATCCAATTTATACTAGTTCCTTTTATACCAATAATAACTGTTGAATTTGATTCATCTGCATAAACATAACCTCTAATTCCGTTATCTTTCCATCCAAATGGTAGTTTCTATTGTGAATGTGAATTTGTGTGTGTGGTGAAAAAGTTTTTTGGGAAATTTATTTATTTATTTTTATTTATCTATACTTACATCCCAACTTCCACTCAAAATTACCCATTGGTCTGTTTCGTCTAAATCAATATATGCATCATATGACATTTTTGCTAAGCCAAGAATTATTTTTTTATCTTTTGGGTTTGGCAAACTTTTAGTTTTCTTATTTAAAAGTGACATGAAAATTTCTTTAAAATGCAACATTGAAGCTTCAATAACATCAATAATATAAGTAGAAACCCAATTTTTATTTTCATCAATGTCTAAACGAATGAATAAATTGTCTGCGACAGTATCAACACCATGATGAAAAACGTGTTTCAATTGAAAAGTTTTACTAGTTATTTGCTTGAAAGGATCATTTTCTATATTAGAAAATGAGAATTGATATGCTGTTACTACACAATGAAAACTGATTAAAAAAATATATATATAATTAAGGAATGCAAATTTAAACATTGTCTAGTATATAAGAGAGAATACACAAAAAAACCATTTGAAACCTTTTATACTGTAAATTGTCGACATAAAAGGGAATTATTATTATAGTCAAACAAATGTCACGAGAAGTGTAATTAATATATTTATATAAAAAACGAAAGGCGTGTGTAACTTATTATTTTTCCTATTTAAATTCTTGTCTATATGGGGTTTGTCAAGCTTCCAGACAAAAAATCTATTTTTAGTAACAACCCTTATAAATTTGGTTACACATATGTTTTTAATAAAATATTCCAAGCCTTGTATCTCATTTTTCTACTATGCAAACAGGGTCCAATTTTTTCACCAACTGTAAATCCTTTATTAGAGATTATTGTTGAGTAAAAAGACAAAAAAAAAAAAAA